CTTTCTAATAAATAAATGAGATAAAGCTTGTATTGTGGTTGGTCTGGCTTTATAGTCACTGATTTGTGTAGGTGGTAACACTTACTTTAGAGTTATAATTCATTGATCAGGACAACCAATTTATGGCTTGAGTTCTAATTATTATTAGTTAATACCATCAATCCTTTTGTTGACTCTTTAACTCATTATTATTTAGTCATTTTGTGTAGGTGATTCGGGGGCACTATGATTTTTTGTACATCAAAATTTACAGAAATGTGTCCCTTTAATTTTACTTATTTGAAATTTTTAAATTAAAAATTCTTGTGGTTAATTTTTTTTAACTCAAAACAATTTAAAAGATTGAAGAAAACTTTCTAAGTTTGTTATGTTTTTTGGTACGTATTAGAAAAGAAATAGAATTAAATAATATATTTTAGATGTATTTTCAGTTATAATTTAAGATGTTTTTGATACTGAAATTTTTGCATACTGCTCCTTAAAGTAAATATTCATTTTGCGAGTCAATTTTTAAGAAAACTGAATAATTAGCATTTAGTCATAAATATTAGTTGCTGTGTACATTTTTAAATACTAATCATTCATTTTCACTCCCTATCTTGAGACTGTTGCGAAAATTAAGATATTTTGCCAGGCAAGGTAACATATGCCCAGTGGCAGCTTTGTTTGAATGAAACATTTGGTAAAACATCAACAATCATCAGCATGGACAAATTTAGCTTTATTGTAAAAAACCATTAATAATGATAGTTTGAAATTAAAACAGGTTACTAGTAATGTAATAATTATATACATATATATTGTTGAAACATTAAAAATATACACATAAAAATACACATATACATAGACAGGTAAGTTTTGTTCACATGATATATTTTACTAGTGTTTTTGGAGTTCAGTGGTATTAACAAGAAAGGGAAAATATAGATTTTGTAATCTCGGTTAAGGGTTTATAATGATAAACAATATCACCAAATTTGTTTAAAATTCATCAAGAATTGTGCTCTTCGACAAATTTGGATGGACAGACAGATGGACGGACACAGGTGACAACAATAAACACTTCACATTTCATGTGGACACATAAACTTTATTTTCAAAAAGAGAAAGGGAAAAAGGATTTGATCAATTCCTGTTTTTATGTTCAATCTCACACAATCTCCAGCTTATGTATAAAATGACAGAACTTGGTGTCAGGTTTTAACATGACATGAACCAACAATCCAAGACAGTTTTTATGTATTCTCGATTTTTATATATAAATAAGTAATATGTAATTACTGTAGATATCTATTTCTAAAGGTGAAAAATATATTTTTGTCTTTTCACATATTATTTAATTATACATAGAAAGAATTTGTTCATGTTATGTTAAAATATGACCCTAATTTTCTCACTTTTTAAAATCTTTTTTCGGTATGTGTAATGTTGCTAAATTTGATATGTGTATACATTAACTTAAAAAAGATCAAATTATAAACCATGATATAAAACCCTATTTTCTGTCTGAACTCTATCTGATTAGATTAAGTATACAGGTATGTTATTTTTTACACTTATGTTTTCTCTTGTGATCTCAAATGATAAAAATGCTTATAGCTCCATTATCGCAAGATATAGTATTCTTATCTCACAAATTGCTATTCAAAGTGGACAAATTTGGAGGGGATGAACTATGTTTTTTGTGTGAATTAGATCATCAAACAATGTCCTTGATTGCTTAGTTAGGTGATGTACAGTAGGAGAAAATAGTTAGATCAATTGTTGTAGTTTTAAAGGGATTGTAAAAAGGTTTTCTAAATTTTGTATGTGTATAGGGGACACTGATGGCGTGAATTTGCATCATTCCAATTTTCAATCAGATGTCTATGGTTTCTGCAATCCCATTAAAACTAAGTGTTTGATATTGACATCATTAATCACTAATAAATTTATGCAAATTTTGCACTTACTGACGTCATCAAACACTCATTTTTTCTGGAATTGCAGGAACCACAGATGTCGTACTGTAATGGTGAATATGATGCTATCAGTGTCATGTATACACAAAAGATTTAAGAAGACCTCTTTACAATCCTTTTAGCAATTTTTTTATCTGACTATGATGCATTGATTTATCTCTTCCCATACCGTTATGCTGGATTTACTGCTTGGTTCAGTTGATAGATAGAGGCACAGTATGATTTTAATGTAACCATACTAGTTAGTGATATCCAACAGGATTTCCTGCTAGTGGTCAACGCTATCAAGTAGTCTGCTTTCCTCATCCAAGCAATTTCTGGCTTATTTACTACGGAAATTAAATAAATTACCAAATGTAAGTAGCATCAAGAGTCCCTTCAAGAAAGACTGTCTTCCTTTCATGATTACTAGCAGAATGTAATGTAATATCTCAATACATAATATTTCTTCATCATAAAAAGGTGCATACCTTTTGCCAGGATTTAGCACTATTAAGCAAGTTTTGTAGTAATAACTGATGCCTAAATGTAGGACTGTATTGAATACGTCATTATAATCTATCAAAACTGGCTTTGACTAGTTTATTCAAATTATTCAGCAGTATATACCATTCTATTAATTTGGATGAAAATCTGAAATAAAGGATCCCACTAAATTATGAAATATTTTTTTTACACACACAGATCCTGGATCATCTACTGCATTCTTTTACTAGTGTTTATTATATCTCATAGTTCTTTTGAATTTTATATTTCTTTCTTCTATTTTCCAGACCTAATTTTGATTTTCCCCAAAATATTAGAAAATCAAGTTTCTTGTAATTAAAGCCCAGGGCATTTAAAAATAAATTTCAGGCCCTTCAATAGACTGAGTTTTGATATGGGATTGGTGAGGTCTCAATATCAATATGTTTAAGGGATGCTTGAGGTTCCAATATAAGTTGAATAAATTTGATTCTTTTGCTACAGAAAACTGTACCAGCTTAAAACCTTAGCATTCCATTTAACACTCAGAATCAATCTTTAAATTTGATGCTGTTCTTGGATATTTCCTGTTCAATGAAGTGATAATTGACTAAGTTTTCCTGTGATAATGTAGATCTGCCACTTTATTTTTGAATTACAAGCTGTAAAGGAGAATGTTTAGTCTTATTCTATATTTAAACTGCAGGTTGTTTTTGGTTCAGAATTTAACATTTAATTTTTTCTCTGACTAGAAACATATTATATAGTAGAATTGTCTACAATCATATTACCCACCCACTTACTTTCTTTCTATCAAGTCAACTAATTTAATCTAAACAAATAGACCCATCACATCTAGATACCAACTTAAAATATGTCTGACTTGATTGCTATCATAATTTGGAGAAATATGACTAAATTGGTGCAAAAACTTGGTATTAAAGATTCAAATTTGGTCATAATTAAGCTGCAGTGTATAAATGAATTCAATAAGCTACTGTCTTGTTACTTTTATTGGTAAAATGTAAAGTGCAAAATTATCCTCAGTATAGTAATGATAATCTAAATTGTCTTTGTGTTGATAAAATGCCAACTTAGACTCATATTATTACATTGAAATTTGTCTAAGTTAAGGCTGGTAGTGTTTTTTGATGTTGAAATTCAAAATCACTTAAATATATTGGTAAAAATATATTTTCAGGTTAAAGTAAAAAGATAATAATTTTTATTCTATATGTCTGATCTCTTTAAAAAAGAAATAAAAATCAAAGTAAAATCCAGAAACTAATAAATTAGACATTTCCGATTGGATAAAAAACTTTACTTGAAATTATTTTTTTGTGTTTTTGTTTTGTAGCAGTCAGTAAGAGCATTAAAATACTGACATCATTTGCATAACTACAATTTAAAATTGTGGGCTGTAATCTTGGTCAGTGTATGAATCTGCATTATTTCAGTGTTATACCTTAAGAGAAACAGTTAATTGTAGAAAGATCAATGCCAAGAGGTTTGGCTAAAGACCAGCTGGTAGACATGATTCTCAAGAACACAAGTAGCATTCCTTAAAAAAATGGTTACTTCCTTCATTTTGTACTAAATAAATTGGAACATTCTTTTGTGGAATTTTGGGTGGAAGAAAATGTGTTCAAATCAAACTTGAATGAATTCCTGAAACTAGTTCAGAGTTTTTTGATTCCATTAATCTCTGTAATTACATGACGATTCTTAGAGCATTAATGGCCTCTCCTTGGTGATGATAGAAGATGTTGTCATTTTTGTAAGACATTACAGTAAATCAACTGACTTTCTTTATATTTCTAGCTTTTTTCCTCAAATACTGATATGTTTCTATAACAATGGGATGAAAAGATATTGATATTAAGACAGTGTCATTTAGATTTTGTATGAATGACTCATATTTTTAATTTTTCCAAACTGACCCAAATTTTATATTTGAATAAAAATAATAATAATTCCTAAATCTCTCGAAAGGGATGAAGAATAATTGCTTACAATAATAGTGGCATGAGATATTCTAGAAGGGAGCATGTGATGCTGCCTTAGCAGCATAAAATGCAGTAATTGGCTCATGGAATTGCGGATGTAATACTTTACAGTTCTTTTTATGGACCCTTGGCACAAAACAGCAATATGAAACAGATACAAATTTATATTGTTATAATGTTCCATATCACCAAGATTAAAATCTGCAGTAACATGATAGTGGCTTCAGTAAATGACATCATATTTTGTTCTGAAAGTTGAGGTATCAAAATTTATAGGACCTTTTTAAATCAGATGGTTTGATCAATAAATCAAATGGTAACTGGAATGAATGTTGAAATTAGGAAAGGACCAGTATGTTGTATGTGAGCACCATTTTGATTTGAGAGGGGGGAGAACTCATTGAACATAATAGACATATTTGTTGGTAAATTCACATTTGTTATGAGTTTGAGTTGACAATCAAATATGTTTTGATAGAGGTTTTGCAGTTTTATAAATGTCATTTATTTAGTGCTGATTAGGCCATGTTATTTTATTTCTCATTTACTCATAATTTCTCTTTTTCAGGAAAATATGTAGGTAATCGACCAATCAAATTAAGGAAGAGCACATGGCGAGACAGAAATATTGATATTGTTCGCAAGAAAGAAAAAGAGAAGAAGCGGCTTGGATTAAGATGAAGGAATAAACACCATGGTTTTTTTTGGTTTGAGGTTCAAGTTCTCTGATGGATGCAGGATTTTTAACAAAAGTATAAGGTTACCAAAGTCAGACAATATTTTTGTTCAGTGGCTTTGATAATAGTGAAAAATTCAAAGTATGGTTAAACATGAAATTTCTTGTGTTGTTTACAGCAGATATAATCAGTGCATTTAGGATGATGTTTCTGGTGTTTATTAGCGTGAAAAGTAAATTGATTCCTAAACTTTTTAACTCTTGGCATGTGATAACTATAATTGAAACTTCAAATTGATAAGTGTTAGTTTTGACTTCTGCATTTTTCAACAACTGTGTTGTTAATTATCTATAACAGGCTAGGTATTGGTCAGCCTTTTGTTTCTCAAAATATATTAAAAATGTGATAATGAAACATCAGATCAAAAAAAAAAATACTGTTAAAATTTTTTTTTGTATCATTTCAATTTTAGCACATCTGCCCTGTTTTTAGTTTAAATCTGGCTGTGTTGCTAAAAGACTGAACCAAAGTCAACAATTTTAAGTCTCAATATATAACATAGGATCAATTTTCTTAAAAAATTCAACAAGATGTCTGATTGAGTGCTGATATCCTTGTGATTGACAGGAAAGAATTCCTTGGAAATTTTGGTATATTAAATGAAATCAGGTGCTGACTCAAAAAAATTATCAAAAATAAAGCAAAAATTACAATACTCAAAGGCTTGTGGAAGTTGAATATGTTTTCTAAGTATTGAAATACATGGGAAACAAACATCATTATTATGACTGAATTTTGTCACCATTGTGATGCCATTAGGTCTATTGTTCAAGGATGTTTCCATTAAGACAAGTCTCATTATAACTTTCATATCAGGACTTGTTAATAAAAAATCTTCAAGATCAGAAATAGATGTAAACAATTACCTTCATTTGATGTTAAAAGAACAACAACTGTGGTTTGTATATATTTTAAAAAAAGAAAAAAAGGTTTCTGTTCATTAACCTTTCAAAAAGCCACAAAAGGAAATCCTCTGTTATTCTTTGGTTTGCGTCTGTAGGGTAGGGGAATTGTATCAACATCTGTCAGATATAAAGCCCTTTTTAATCACAAACATTTTACAATCAGAACTGTAAAAATTAAGATTTCAACCCAAAATTGAACATGTTTAGAAGAGTTAGTTTTGAAGAAGAAGTGCTTGAACCCCTATAATATTTTTCAATTATTTTCAATAGAGTAATAATAAACACATTTCAAAGAACAAGGGCAATAACTCATGTAAAATATTTTTTTGTCTTACCATTTTTGATAGGATGATGATGAAATATCTCACCAAGATTCATCTAAATGCATCAAAAATTGTCACTTCTGGAGGTTTATGAGCAATTTCTTTAACTAGAATGGAATCATGATGAATAAAACTCTATTCATCTTGTTTGTACTTAAATTATATTAAAGGGATTGTAAAGTGTTTTTTTTTAATTGTTGTCTATTGGTACATGTATAGTTCCTGCAATTCCACAAAAAATAAGTGTTTGATTATATAACTATTAGCTAGTTATATGCTTTATCACTTAAGGCCCTTCATGATTAGTGATGTCATCAAACACTTAGTTTTAGTGGAATTGCAGGAACATCTTTACAACCTCTTTAAATATCTTGGTTCTGTACCGTGGAAGGAATTCTGCCCTACCCTTAACTCTAAATAGAAAATCATTAATTGATAAATGATTGGCAATTAGAGAAAGAAACCAAGCATGAAGTCTGGTTTTTTGTGTTCAATATCTTAAATAGTTATAGAAACATGGAAAGGAGGGGGAAGATCAAACAAACTGTAATATATAGTCAATAAACCAAATAATTGCAGAAATGTAAAACATAAATTAGAAAAGTAAATGTTTCAGACATGGCAGTTGGTTAAGAAATTGAGTTATTCATTGATTTCTAATAAAAACAAACACATAAAGTCCCAAAAATGTAATTCTGAAAAGATAATGGAATAAATGAATGACAAAATACAGTATTCACTGTCCCTTACAGCTATCACAAATAAAAACAATATCATGTTTTTGAGTTGTTTCTGTATGTGTACAATTTTTTTTGCTTGACTATATTGTTCTATACGTTTCAGGCAAAGTAACAAACACACAATGGAATGTCATATCTAGGGGGGGTTATTCACTTAAGCCACGCTAATTATAGCATTTGGTATGATTTGACACTGAATAGCAACCACCCATATACCGGTAATACTGAAAATTTATCAGACATGGGCTTATTTTGCAAGGCAACCACTAAATCTGTGTCAACATATACATCTAAGGGGTTTATTCTGTCCCAGCATATTCTATATTGGCCAACATCTTCCTCAGCAGCAAGCACCAAGGTCATTTTTATTTAGTTATTAGTGTGCGCCTGGCCTTTGTGGGAGCTATTTGAAACAAGCTAAATATATCGATTGGTGTGCTTAATTGTGCACTCTTGACAGTGGCCTTTGTGAAAGCGGTCTGAACAGCCTGCGTTGGCTCGCAGTTTTAGCGATTAACCCCCCAGGTGAAACTCATTGTTTAATCTTGCTTACAAGCTGAAATTGACAAAGGCTGCAGACGCATTATGTTTTTGTTGCCAAAGTGAAAAAAGTTACCCAAAACTGTTGGTGTTCCCGCTTCCTAAAACACTAGTGATAAGTTGTAAATTTAGATCTCAATTGACATCAAATCAAGTATGAATTCATGTATATCAAATTCGAGGAAACTATCCTGCTTACAAGAAATTATAAAGCAAGGACGATGGAGGATCAGTCTGACTATTGGACATGGATGTCTGAAATATATGCAAGGCAAAATAAGTACATGGAAGGTGTCCTCACATCATAGCAATTACCAGTTGAGTGTGGTTGCAAATAATGCAAGTGGCCATGCCATAAATTCAAAATGTAAATCTCAACTTAATTGCACAAGAGTTGCGTTTGAAACTTGTAACAACTATTTTTATACGTTAACTTGTAATTGCAAATGTGTAATTATCACAATATTAAAATCAAATCCACTATTGGCAACTATAGGGCCTACTGTCTTTAGTTATAATTGGAAATGGATTTGATTGAATAATAAAATATAACACAAATGTAAGAATTTAGTCACATTTTAATCTATATAAATACAATGAAAGAAATTAACTATCCAGAAATGAGTTCTTTTGTACCAACAGCTCTGGTGTACCTTGGTGGAAGCTTGTATCCAACCAAACTTCGTTTACCAATAATTTCTCCCAAGAAGAAACAGAGAATTAAATCAATAACTATAATTAGGTTAATGGTCATTTCCTGAAAAAATAAATAAAAGATTTTGATATTAATGACAGTGAGCACAATTTGCAGGATTTAATTGTAAATATTTATCTCAGTTATATTGAATATTATACACTGTAAGGGACATAACTACAAAATTGGTAATGTCACAAAATGATCTGAGTAGGGCTTTTTATTTGGATCATTAAACAATCCAAATGAAGTCATAACAAAGTTAAACTGTGATTAGATATATTTCTTACAATCCTTTTTTTGTGAAAACAAAAAAATAATCAATAACTTAACACAATTATAATCATGGTTATTTGGTTGATAAAGATACATAAAGTCTATTTAGGAATTAGATACCAATTCACTTATTTAAAGTATGTCCATGCAGTCCCTGATTCAGCAATGAAGATTAAAACAGATACAAATCATTGGCAACTTAAGATGTATATAATGACTAATCTTAAAATCTTTATTGATTTCAGTTACCTATTCACGCAAAGAGATAGGTCCTTTCGGCCATATTTTGTACAATATTATGCTGGTAATAAAGCATTACTTTGTGTGTCTGGGCAAGTTTCTTGATGTCAATTTGTAAAGTTTAGGTAAAATTATTTCGATTCACATTAAATGAATAAGTTTAACAATATGACACCTCTTGTTAAAACTAATTGGATAAAAAATATTGTAAAAAATACATCAGGGAGAACAGTTCAAGAATAACATAATACTTACTCTGAAAGTTAAGTTTATGAATTTATAAGTGAATGCAGATTTCAGTAATTTTTGGGCTGTTGCTGCCATTTCTGGCATGTCAGCTAGAGTTGGTGGTGCCATTTCTACTTTTAACACGTTCCATGATCGACGAATTCTAATATATGTATATTTGCCAAATTTTTCACTCCCTGAAATATATCGTTAAAAAAAAAGTTACTGTCTGGTCACAGTAATTTCACAAAAAATCATTAGTTAAGAAATGATTTAAGCCCATATTTTACATTTGAAATAAACACACATTGCTCTCAGAAATTACACATGAGAATGATATATATTTCAGATGGAGAAAATGTCCAAATAACACGTAAATAGAAAAAAAAACACAATTTACTGTAATAAGATTATAATCTAGTAATTAATGTGAACAATGCCCAAGTTGACATTCATTTTAAAAGGTGTCAACTTCATATAGGTTGTAATTGATAATTATTCAAAATAACCAAAATCCTGGATAACTATAATGTAACGTAGCCCTTTGTTCACCGAATAATGGTGAAAGATTTGACAGTAGTATTGTCCCAGTGTAAGGCTTGCACAACACCTCTACCGTCGACTGCGGAGAGTAAATGGCACTTTTCAGAGTCACCAAACTCTCCTATAAGAGTGATTAAGTCTTTCAACTACAGTATTTATTTTCAAATAAAGTGCAACATATTTATCAAATGCTTTTTATTTGTAATTTGTTTACAAAATATGAGTCTTAAAAAATGTAGTCCGAGATGGCTCAGTCATCGGTCAAAGTCTCAAAAAAGTGATTCTCATCCTAATCTCAAAAATATGGTCCAAGTCAGTCTACTACTAAAAAAGACAGTATGAAATTGGGATTACTAAATCATATTGACCGAGTTTTGGGCCATTAATATCCTAGTTTAGGTACAAAGTTGATTAGTTTATAACCCCTAATTTGGCCTCTTACTCTCGTACCACAATGATTTCTGAATTGAATTTTGCCAATTCCGTATGAATGAAAGTATAAACTACAAAATACTTCTGAGAGTCTTACATTGTCTTTGGGTTGATGAAAATGTCGACCACTGGCACTGGAAAAATTTGTAAACATGAATTTACAGAGGGGAATTTTCAGTCCGAAAAATAGGTCATTTTCAACTTATTTCATGTTAATTTTCTGGGAGGGAAGTGTGTTTATTTAATATATAAATTCACAAAACCTAATATTTCTATGGATCCGACGATATTCCCAGACAAATGGCACACAGTTGAAAATTCAGAGCTCAATGTAGTAACATTACAACGAAACGGTGCAGTGAGCTAAAATAAACATAGCAACCGAACGATGGCATACACCAATTATCTATTAGCAAGAATGAATTGATTACGTACATCGTACTATGAAGCTTCCATATTTAATTGCACGGGGTCTTAACGCGCTTACAATACGATTTGGAACAGCCGCACTCATATTTTCAACGCCGAAATCCTTGCATGAAGGTGAAATGGAAGTTAGCTGACACGTTGTTGCCAGATTTGACAATAATGTGTCACTTCCGGGATGGTATGTATGGTTTTCACAATTTCGGGGTTCAAAACAGTTTATTCGTTTCCTAGCTGCATGTTTCTAGTTTTGGATTAAGCATAAGATTTATTGGGATCCAAATCGTTAAACTTCAGTTACGAAATAATCTATATTCTGAAGTTTCGAATCGATTCACTAAGAAAGAAATTGAAGTTTAATCTGGCATTACAGCTTCACTTCCGTTTTGAAAACAACAGTTTTCCCCCCTTGACCGTAATATTTTGCCGGAAGTTTATGCCATGGTCTAGTTGTTTTCAGTCTGCTGATAATCAGATCCACAAAAATTACTTTTTAAGCAATTAATCCTACAGATAATATAAATTGAAGGTACGCTTATAGCACATTTAAGATAATTGCTTTGTAAAATCCTTTTGTTTAGAAAGGCAGGGTTAAATTGCATGCCTGACTCGCCTTTTGCTGGACCCATGATAATGATTGGCATGATAACTGAGTAAATATCCCTGGCTACTAGTCTACTACTAATATTTCTTAGTAAGATACAGCTCTTACTACTTACTCTACTGTACTCCAGTTCAGCACAGACCGACTGTAAAACCTAATGTATTGCATCCATTGGTTATATAATAGATATTACCCAACAGGCCGGGGTCTGAAGCATTGCCATTGAAGTGGAATTAGATAGAGTTTCCAATCAAATAAATTTTGATAATAGGGCAGTGGCTTGTGTTGTTTCAAATATTATAATATATTAACTTGAATTCCAATGACTTTTGAATTTGATATCACAACATTTCTTTGTATTACCGGTACGTTTGTTCATTTGGAATTGAAATGGGAAACGAATGAGTTAGATCTAAATATTTAAAAAAGTCTTTTGGGTGATAAATGATTATGGAACTCTTTACCTTGCTCCTTAAAGAAAATCAATGCTTTGACAAAATTTAAAAAAGATAATTGTATACAGGCTAATTTACATCATAATAAAGACTTTATTATTATTATATTTATTTAGATTGGATTTATATCTTTCAGTGCTATCAAGTTATAAATATGGCATTGGATATTTTTTAGTCTGGAGATAGAATTTGAAAATGGATAAAAGTAACCCCAACCTTTTTCCTGATCCTAACCAGATTATACAAACACAACTTGCTGCTTATGGATTTCATGATTCAGGCGGAACAAACCTGTCCACTCAATACCCTCAATCCCTGCCACCTATACCTCCATCCATTAATCATCCACAGTCAGTTTATCATTTAAACCAGTCAGCTCATTCCTACCACAATCCATCCCTGCATCCAATAGCAATACCTCCCTTGTACAACCCTAACCTTTACAGATCGAGACATGGTGGTCCAGACCCACTTTCTCCAGAAACGCATTCTACTGATTATAACAAGGTCAATAACTCTAACAGTATCGATGATTATAAAGGAGAGGACTTGAGTAAGGGAAGTATTAGCAATCAAAGCAAGAGAAAAACGGAAGTGTGTAAGGAGACAACCGTAGATCCTCAAGTAAAAAATCCAAATCAAAATACTTCAAAAGGAGAACATGATCTGAAACCAGTTCGGGAACAAAAGGATTTAAAACTGGACCCTAATAAGAAACTGTACTTGGATGAAGCTACTGGTCAATACTGTGAAATGGCTGAAACTCAAACTGACAACACTGCAACAGAAGAAGAGCTATCAGAAAAAGTTGTAATGAATTTTTCTGATTTGGATGATGAATCTGATAAAGAAGAAAAAAACTCCAGACAAACTAGCAAAGCTTCTAAGGAAGTGAAGGGAAAAGCTTATACCGGAGAAGATGACCCTGTTGTTGCCACCATTATAGAAAATTTAGTCTCCCAGTCAAAACAGCAGCTGGTACCAGTGGTGGAAGATATCTTGGAAAAGTCAGACAAAAGAAAATCCAAACCACAGAAGATAATTAAAGAAGAACCAGGAACCAAACCTTTTGGCTATAACCAAATTCTTGAAATGTGTGATATGAATTTTCCCAGCAATATTCAACTGATTCAAGATATTATCAATTTGAGTCATGACCTTACAACTGAAAATGGTGAAAGTATTGAGAATATTTGTAACAAACTGATGAGTGAGCTTCTTCACTTAAATCATTCAATTTCACAAGTTTGTAAAACTTCACTTGACTCAGATAAACTCAAATCAGATTCTAATTTCTCAACTCCCTTTGGAACTTTGTTAAATGCTTGGAAATCAAATATGTTAAAAAAGAAAAAGGCAGGAACTCTGAGCAAAGAAGATGAGGAAATGCTTGAAATGGAATCACTGAATTCTAACTCTGATTGGAATGACTCCTTGCCCACCTCAGGTGTTGACTTCAATTTTACTCCTAATGCAGCTTTTGGGACAAGTGTCAAATCTCTTAAAAAAAGACCTAAAACAAAGCCAAAAATAGTCAATGAACCAAAAGATGATGACTATATGCCATCAGCTGAGAAGAGAAACAAAAGCCGCAAAAATTCTTTGACTACTGAAGATAAAAGTGACACCAAAAGATCCTTACGAAACCGATCATCATCATTCACTAAAGTATATCAAGATGAACCAGACTCTGATGACCAACTGAACTCTGTTCATGAGGAATCTGACTTTGAGGATGGCAAACCCGAGATCATTCAGATTGCTGTTAACACACAGGAACAGTCAACAGATTCAGCAGCAAAGCAGCACGAGTGTCCTATTTGTAATCTGCCATTTAAAAGTGTGAGATCTGTTGCTCTCCATAAACGTCAAAAACATGTGACTCTCACTATTGTCAAAAATCCATGTAATCTTTGTAATCAGTCATTTGACACTCTTGCTGAATTGGAAAAACATGTTTCAAACCATGATACAAAAGAAAAAGTTCATTCAACGATTACTTCTCTAACCACCTATGAATGTAAATTGTGTGGCGCTACTTTTCATGGACAACTGAAATATGATCTCCATATGCGTTATCATGCCAACAGAAGATCCCACAAATGCTCTGCTTGTTCAAAAATGTTTGCAACCAAATTCTTATTGATACGACACAAGAATATTGCTCACAAGGAATCCATGGCTTTCCAATGTTCAGAGTGTGACAAATGCTTTAAGACAGAAACACCTTTAAAATATCACTTGATGAGACATAAGGGACAGTTACCTTTTCCATGTCGTTATTGTGAAAATCAGTATCCTAATGTTTCTTCCAGGAACAATCATGAACTGACTCACTCAGAAGAAAGACGGTTTTCTTGTGACATGTGTGAAAAGAAATTTAAAACTCAACATAGTCTAAAGAAACATAAACTTCTACATAGTGGAGAGAAATCATTTCAATGTGATTTTTGTGGTCAGCAATTTCGCCAAAAGAGCACTCTCACCAGTCATCGTAGAACGCACACTGGAGAAAAACCATATATTTGTGATGTCTGTGGAAAGGCGTTTACCCAATCAAGCATACTCAATATGCATAAGCGTGTACATACTGGTTATAAGCCTCATCAATGTACATATTGTGAGAGTGCATTTTCTTGTGGAGCATCTTTACGTAAACATTTGACAATTCATACTGGAGAGAAAAACTTTATGTGTAAAGTTTGTGGCCGAAGATTTGCACGTGCTCAAGGTTTGAAACATCATGAGCGTTCACATACAGGTGTTAAACCATATGAATGTAAAGAATGCGGGAAGCGTTTTACTTGTCCTAAACATGTCAAACGCCATAAATTAATGCATACGGGAGAATTTCCCTTCACCTGCAATGTGTGTGGGAAATTGTTCCGTCAAGAATACAACATGAAGGTTCACATGAGGGTGCACACTGGAGACAAACCATTTCAATGTTTGAACTGCGGCAGATGTTTCGCATATAACCAAAGTCTGCAGATGCATTCATCTCATTGTGTCAAGCAAGTTGGTTTCTTGGGTTATGATATTCAACTTCATCCAGTTCAGGAAATCCAGTAGGCCATTTCAAATAATCAAAACAATACCTAATGCCAAATTGATTTGATATCATAAAAGATTATTGCATTTTATAACAACTACAGGAATACCATTCTCTATATAAAATTTATAGCTTTAACAAAACTTAATTAGCTACCTTTAGCATTTTTCAGAATAGGAATACTGCATCAGGTACTTCACAATTAAACTAAGATGTCGAATTATATATCCCATTACTGTTCAGACTTTCCTGAAATACAAAGTTGGCATTATACACAGTATTTTGAAAGACGACCAAAGTATTCATGCTGGAAATATGTTGATGAATTTGAATATCATCATCTTTATGTAAGTAATTTCCGTAAATGCATGTTAAAATTATTTATCATATATTTATTGTTTTTAACTTAAATGTTGTAGTTAGGTTAGTATTATTAAGCAGAGATAAAAATTATATTGTGTCCCTTACTATTTAAAAAAAAAAGGAAAAAGCTTGTGTTTATATATAAAGTCGTCTTTGAATGTGCGCAAGTTTCTGCTTGACTATAACTGTGTTTTAAGTCTAATATAAAATGTGCTCTTTTAGCAACCACCTTGAAAGTCTTATGATATTTGCTTTGTTTGACTTCAGAATGTTCAGAATAACACAAATATTGATAATGAGAAGTTTTAATTCATAATTTGTGAACAAAAATCTTATCAAATGTCGCTAAAGTCGGGCTGGTTTGATTTCTTGATGCTTTAAACCCAGTGATAATGGTATGGTTTACTAACTTAAATTAGTCATAACAGTCATTAATCATGCGTGTAAATTATTTTTGTTTGATCATATAATGATATTATTTTATATTATTCAACCAGATGCTGATATTTTTTTTGTCAGAATTGTTGTTTTATGATTGTTGTTAATATATTGATTTTAGTGCTAGTTTTGATTAATAGATAAATTTATCGGTAATTTAAGAAGGTTGAGCTTATTTTCAGCTTTCCAGTTCAATCAGAAGAGAATGATATTTAAGTTACATTATTTTGGGGCTTTTTGGAATTAATTTCATATTTATTTTGCACAAAAATAACTTTTGCAATCTATGAGAAGCTGTAAACTGTCAAGGACCTTAATATTGTTAGTAGCCATAGAAACCTTGTTTCATTACTATATAAGTGAAGCCCTCTATAGTCAAATATAACCTAAAAAACTTAATTTGATTCTGTAATGGGATACTGTTGTTTAGTAACGACATTAGGCAAGTCCACTGATGAAAATGTATACTCTTTGATGAATATATACTGTTATGGGCCAGTGATGATTATTATTTATTTTAAGAGGTATTAATTCTTTACAGGAATATTTTTATCTTCTTTACCTGTTGATAGGGCTCAATTTCAAAACTTATCAGAATATAAAATCTTGTATAAAAAACCTGCCTCTGAGGCATAGTTGTCTGTCACAATTAATTAACATCTTCAAGTTCAGATATCAAATTTTCTCAAAATTTCATTCAATGTCTTAACTTTTGTCATAGTGAATGAAATGTCATATAGTGTAAAAATGATGATAAAGTTTTCCTATTCAGTTTGCGCTGATAGAACTTAATATAACATATTTCAGTAATTCGATATGGTCGTTAAGACAAAAAGGTAGCAAATGAGCTCTGAAAGGGTAGAAGGCCTTTTCTTTTACATTTTATGAAGGGATGATTATTAATATGCTTTTGTTGTTTGTTATAGATAAATGTATGCAATTGATTCTCTTTTCCTTTCTGCCATCCAGGGTATCTATAGGCACTGCATTAGTCTGCCTCATTCACACCCCACAAAAAGATATTTTAAAAATGGAAAGATTGTTAAAGGAATCTTTTGTGTTCGCATGTATTAATCAAAACCAGTTCAAGTGAAAAGAATTTCTCTTTTTTGGGTGGGGGGGGGGTTAAAGTGAAATGACAAATCATATCACTATGTCTGGCATTGAAAGCATGGTGTCTTGCTATATTGCCATTTCACCCCTAAATTATTCCTGTTCTGTCCCTTCTGTTTATTGCTTCTTGCTATTTTGAACCTTGCTCCCCTCCCCGATGTGCCCTTCCCATTTCTTCTGTTGCGTTGCTTTTTGTAGAGAGGCAGTTTGAATTTGATAAAAGAGAAATCCAAAATGTTCCTTCAACAAAATACTCATAAAACAGAAAATTAAGACTTGTACCGGGTATTCAATTAGCTGAAATTATATGTAAATGTTCAGCAGTGATGTCAATTGCATTTCTTTTCCTGTATTCAACTTTCTTTAATACTGACCATTCCTTTGACAATGCAATGAAACAAGAAAGGAGCAAACTGGGAAAGAGGCGAAGTGGGAAAGAGGGACGAAATGGGAATAGATTGGAGGAGAGTTGGGAAGGGACAACCTGGGAATAGTCCTGAAAGCAGAGGTGTGGATATCAGAAATAAAATGACCTCAGGTATCTTGGTTATTGTGTGAAGCTTACAGTAAACAATAATTTGTACAGCACATGTTCTTTACAATGAGTTTCTTGAATCCCTCAAATCAGGCTTTGCAAACCCAAACTCCCCATGTCATGTCAAAAGAGCTGAAGTAGAAGGAATGAAATATTTGCCTGGTGGGTGAATATGCACCATAGACGAAAATCCAGATAAATAGCAGGTGATTTATCCTTGCTGCCTGTGCAATGTTTGAATGTCAAGTATAAGAAATCTGCTGCTGCTCCACAGACATCAACTATCAGCTACGCTGCAATCAGATGCTGCACAACACACGTCAAATATATTAAAGTTAACTAGTTTTTTGTTGATCTTCAAATAACGTGACAACATACTTAGAGATTTCAGCTAAACCACTAAAAGTAGAATTTTTTCTGAATTTTACTTGAGTAAAATACATATTACAACAATAACAAATCATTTCACTAACAGTTCCAATACACGATGGTTGCCATTAATAATAATAATAATAATATTTATTTGTACATTGAAATATAGCTTGCCAGGCAAGGTAATATATGACCACTGGCAGCTTTGATTTTGAATAAAAATATTTGGCAGTACAGTAACAATCATCCGTATGAAATATTCAAACTTGGGGCAATACTGAATAATATTATATATTGTCATAATCCGACAAAAATCGTTGAGCTCAAAATTGAAAGCTTTTTCAAGAACAAGATCAATTATTCGTACAAAATATTTTTCGATTTTTCTGATTTTCAAGAGAGTTCATCCTTAGGTGATAACAAACACTGACACCAAGATTCATCAAAAATCTGTCAAGAATTGTGCCCTCTAGAGTGTTTACGAGTAATTGTGGACAGACAGACATGGTTGACGCTAATATACCGCCCCCATTTCATGTGGGCATATATAAAAAAAGTACAATTCACACAAAACAAATGATGTTTACATTTAAACAAGACTTTTGACAGTGTGCTTAATATATGTCTATGAGGAATTTGTCATAGAATTAATTTAATCTACGCATTAAGAATGTAAAATTGACTAGTCAGCTTTAACTTTGGTACATTGGCTTACATTGCTTATACTCTTTAAATTTTTAAAAATAAACCCCCATATCCAAATACCTCCATTCAACTTGATAAAAGACCCATGCAATTGCTAATAGTAATGAACAATTCTAGAAAAGGAATCTTTTCCCACCAGCATTGTTATAATAACAAATTTTATGTTTTTTTTAGCATTATTTGAGGATACTCAATTCTTATTTATGCGGTTTTATTCTTTCCAAAGGTAATTGTTGGTTTGGTAACACAAAAGGTTTCACACACCTTTACCATTTCTTAAAATAGTTATATATACACATAAGACTGGCTACAATATATACGGCAAAATCAGCCCTTTATAGTTTTGTTCCTGGGTTATACGTTATAGGAATTTCAGGAATTTCAAAAGTGGCCTCAGTTTTCATGCAAACAAGTTTATGATCTCTCAGAGGTTGATTGTGAGAGAAACTTTCTCCACATTTGTCACAGATGTATGGTTTCATGTTGTGATGAGTTCTCATGTGGACAATTATATTATACCTCTGCTTCGATTGCTTTCCACAAATATTGCATGAAAACTTCATTTCACTGTTATGGATTGCCTTATGACGAATTAAACCATTGGGATATTTAAATTTTTGAGGACAGTGTGGACATTGGAAAGGCTGCTCATCGGTGTGCATACGGCGATGGGTTCGTAGATAACTTCCATGACGAAACCTTTTTCCACAAAAATCACACTGATATTTCTTTTCATCTGAATGAATTTTCATGTGCAATGCCAAGGATTTTCTCGTTCGACACTTATGACCACAATGCTCGCAAGTCTCTTTTTTATAGTCTAAGTGCAATGTTTGATGACCTCTAAGGGTACCTAAAACAGCATACGAATTACCACATATCTCGCATACATAGGGACGTTCTCCACTGTGTGTACGTAAATGGTTACGAAATTCACTTGCATACATTTGTATATAGCCGCATGTATCACATTTAAAGCCTTCCTTATCTCCAACTTTACACCCATATTGATGTTTGAGTTCATGACCTTCCAAGGCTATTTTACTGTAGGTGGTTTTTGGGCACTGGGAACATTTGTACAGCACTAGTGGTTTTTTGGGTTTTCCAGAATGTGTTTTATTACTTTCTTTCCTGGCAGACTTTGACTTTGGAGTCCTGGATTTTGGTGAAGACTTTGTATTTTTTGAAGTAATTTTAGTCTTTCCGGAGCTACCAGGTGTCCAACATTTATCTGTAGTATCATTTTCCCCATCAGAAATGCTCTCATCTTCATCATCATCTATTTCTGGAGTAACACTCATGACTGAGGATGGGTTCATTTCAGGTAATTCATCAAACGGTGCAACTTCTGTTTCTTCTACTTTCACTGTGGGTTTTTTTAATTCCATTTTTGGGGTTGTTATTGCAGTATTATGACTAACAGTTTGAGTTCCAATGTCTAGCTTTTCAGGCCCAACTTTACCATCAAAATCCATACTAGACAACCCCTTACACAAAGTGATGATTGAGTTACCCATCTGAAAAGTTTCGGACAGAATTTGATTGGAAAGGTTTATAACTTGATTGCTAGAGTTATCAATGAGTGATTGAGAAGTTATATGAATTATATTATGAATCATTGAGGATTGTTGGTAAATATGCTTTTCACAAATATCAATTATTTTGCTCATGCCCGTCTCCAATGGATTCATTGAGCTTACAAGTGAATATGATTGGGGAGAACTTTCCTGATCCATATTGAACCTGACTGTATTTTCCTAAGATCTCTGCTAAATGTATAGGCTTGCAGTTCATACACTGACTATTCTATTACAAAAGTCTTTCCTTGAGCCATCACATCAAGACCTGTTGAAATAAAATGAAGATTTAGAATATATATCACACTTGTCTTTTAAATGCAGTATTGTGCAGCTAATTTTACATTTAATTCATTTAAGATTCATTTAATGGATATTATTCCTGATTATTGAAATATTGTTGGGGCAATTCCTTGACAAAAAGACATGGATAAGTTTGGAAAACATTTGAACTATCAATAATCAGACTGACCAATATCACCTAGTTTAGTCGGATAATGCAACTGCCTGCGCTTCTAAATTTTACAATCTATTTGTGGTCTTAGTCCAATTGCTGTGTAACTATCTGTGCAGAATTGTATATTCGTTTTCCACAATTATGACTTCATATAACAAATATCATGTCTTGATATGACTTTTGTCACCAGACAAAAGACCATATTATTCACACAATTATAAAAAGAAAACATAAATACCTCTACTAAAGCTAAGAAAAATGATGATGCGGTTCACAAATAGCAATTGCCTTTGTTACTCTTGTTGAATTATTTCCCCTTTATGTAGATTTGCACTACCAGCTTCGAGTGTTTTAATTTTCTCAGTCTAGATCGATTGTCTGCGAGTCTGTGGCACCTTCCGACATGGTATTCACTTTTTTTTACGGAGAAGAGGTCGTCAGATGTAACCATGGTCAAAAATACATATCTTGGACATACAAATATGTGTGTCCGATTTGACGTATGTGTATCCCAAATGTTTGTCTTGGTAATCGAGACTATGGTGCAAAGCGACTAGCTCTGAAATCGTCTATTTTTTCGTTGATTTCACTAGTGTATTTTTAATAATCTGACTTAATAATGGTTTCCGATCTGTGTACAGAATATAAAGCTTATGGTTGATTGGACATTTGTTGACAGAAAAATGCAAAGTGTGAATTTCAGCTTCTAAAGATTAAAGTGACTATGTATGTTAATTATGGTCAAGTTGGCCTTAAGTCAAATCGAGCACGTTCCTTCGGCTAATTATGACCTAAGCGGTGTGCGTGGCGATTGGGTGCCGTGGGTTCGAATCCTTCTCAAATTAAGAAAAGGATTGATGCCAGAATGGGACTTGAGAGTGGTTGTAACAACATGTAGGGTTTAAGGGTAGAGCTTTTACCACATGGTAGCAATTTATTTCAAGTTCAAATAAAAATACTATTTTTATTTCTTGACAGCCAATACTTGAATTAATCGAAATGATATTACTGGCAAAAGTAAATTCCACTAATATCTAATTCATAGCCGGCTGTTTCAATTTGTTTTAAAGCTGCAATTATTCATGCATACCTGATTGTCATAAATAATAGTCTAATTATCTATCTTTTGCAGAGCATCATGGATGTGATCGACAGTGTACCATTACCACCACTACCCAGGTGGAAAAATAACTGGAAGGGAACGGCTGTTACTCCAAACCAGTCACTACACAAGCTTGAAGACTTCAATACCCTGATAACTAATATCATTCATCTGTGTGAAAAACATGTATTTGGACAAACTGCATCTGTACAGGGAATTTTAAATGTATGCTCTCAGATTTCCGGTTGTGCAGGTTACGATCAATTTTGCAGACAAATCATCGGTCATTGTAATGAAATTTTATCACAAACATACGAAAATAGTCACAGCGTAATCAATCTGTGTACAAAAATTTCAGCCTTTGATGTTAATTCGGATTTGATTTGTCCTGAACAGGAGGTTAATCAGCAGCAAGACTCACCAGCGAAAGAACCAGAAGTCACACCTACACCCAATGTTAAGATGGAACCTGATGATGATGTTTTGACCGAACCAGATATAAGTTGGCAGGATGAGGACTTACTGGATCAAACAGACTCTGACTCTGAAGAGCATGTGAATGAAGACGATGACCCAGACTGGTCAATCACACGGACAAGCGCTGAAAAATCTACAGGGAACGGTAAATTTAATTCCAAAATGGACAGTGGACATCCAAAACCTTCAACCAAAAAGTATACAAAAAATATTCCTAAATCCTCCAAGATCTCCCCCAAACAAGATGGAAAGATTTACAAGTGCTCAGTTTGTTCTAAAAAGTTTTCAACATCCGCTGGACTAAAGCAACACGAAGAATCTCATAAGAGTAATGGATCATTGCAATGTGATATCTGTAATCGCACATTTGGAACAATTGATAGTTTAAAGCGGCATGGTCGTGTCCATACTGGAGAAAGACCCTATATCTGTGAGATATGTGGGAATTCTTACCCATTGCTCAGTACCCTTAACGGACACATGCTTGTTCATACTGATGATACACCCTTTCATTGTCAGTTGTGTGAAAGTAAATTTAAGAGTGCTAAAAGATTGAGAAAACATCAACAGGTTCACACGGGAGAGAAGAAGTACCAATGTGATACCTGTGGTGATCGGTTCGCATGGAGCTGCTCTTTGAAAAAGCATGTCATGACTGTTCATTCCAATGAAAGTCCATTTCAGTGTGACGTTTGCCATAAAAAATTTAAAATTCTAAGATATCTCAAAAAACACGAATTGGTGCACAAGGATGAATACAAGTATCAATGTAAAGTGTGTGGAAAACAAACACGCCAGAAAAGCAATTTAGACACGCACATGCGAACACATAATGGAGAAAAACCTTACGTATGTGATAAATGCGGGAAAAGATTCGCCCATAATGTTACCAGAAAACAGCACATGGAGTCATGTTTTACACAGAGGAACGACTTTCAGTTTAAGGTCTCAAATCCTCTTGCTACGAATTATTTGGGTGGCTTAGCAGCAGCTGGCGCAATGGATTCAAGATTTTAGAATTTGTTTAATATCTTTAAAATTATAAAATCTATAATCAGGATATAAATTGTTTTCTACCATTAGATCTGATTTATACACTTCGTTTACTTGGAAAAGTCAGAGTATTCCAAGTGTGGTTAAAATTTAATCAAACTTATTTTAACAACAGAAAACAGGCTTTATTTACCAGTTTTGTGGTTATGTAGTAAAGTACACCCGAATTCAGAATTCTGCAGAAGTGAGGTTCCCCTTTTCAGAGATCCCAAACTTTCTGGAGGGATATTTTTTAAATATGACTTTGGGCTATATTGGGCCAGGTTGGAAATTAGGATAAGAGTTTTCTGTTGGCCTACTATCAATTAAGGTTTAAGAGATAATGTTGGTTGAAAGGCAACAAGTTATTATTCAACAGAAGGCACAGGCACTGTGTTAATTATAACTATTTTTAATTTAATTTAATTTTTGATTTAACTATCAAACCGATATCCTTTGGTATATAATGGAACATGCTGCCGTCCAATTTAGTTAATTCAAAAACGATAAATTAGTTTAAATCTGGCCTAAACTCAATTTATTGAAATAAATTCGCCCCATTGTTAATAATGCATACAAGTACTAGATTCTACTTTGAGAGGAGTATAGAAACTAAGCTTTGAAACCCAATGTTCCGGGTAAATTCTAGGTCCAGGTACGGAAAATAACCAATTAAAATTTGCTGAAACTGACGATATTTTTTATGATTTCCTCAGCTCTAATAAGTTGAAGAAGGTGAGTGAAAAAGAATTTCATCCTTTTGAAAAACATTGGCTAGTCAACACACTGTTTGATGACGTCACTAATCGATAAGGCCTGTGAAAAAGCATATTTTCGATTAGTGACGTCATCAATTAGTTGGTTTTAGTGGAATTGAAGGAAACACAAACGTCTGATTAAAAGTTGGAATGGTGCAAATTGATGATATCAGTATTCCCGATACACATAAAAAAAATTTAAAAACCCTTTTACAATCCCTTTTAGAATTTTAAAATCGTCAGGTTCGCAAAAGGTTGCCCAAATTGTCTTCAGTTTGCATTTGTTACTGTTGATGAATAATTTGCCTTAAGGCTAGATTTGCTCTACATATATGGCTGTCAGTTTTATAGAGAAGAGGTTGTCAAACTTAACCATGGTCAAAAATACATATTATATCTTGGATAATATACAAAATAGTGTGTGTCCTTTCGACGTATTTGTGTACACAAGTTTTTGTCTTGGTAATCGAGACTATCGAGCTAAGCGATTAGCCCAATAGAGTTATAGCCCGGAAATCGTCCTTTTTTTTCGCTGATTTCAGTAGTGTATTTTTAATAACCTGACTTTATTATGGTTTCCGATCTGTGTATAGAATATCAAGCTAATGGTGGATTAGACATTTGTTGACAGGAAATTGCTTTGTGGGAATTACAGCTTCTTAAGTATTAATGTGGCTAGGTATGTTACTTATAGTCAAGTTGGCCTAAGTCAAATCGGGCACGTACCGTAAGCTTTTATGACAGAAATGGTCGGTGCCGATTTATAACCTGTTTTTGAATAATTAGGATTAAATGGGACTTCATGACATTTTGTTTTCACACAATAACAATTTTCTTCATTTTTTGAACCAAACTACAATTGATACGAGCTGATGTATCTTGCGAAATTAAATTCTCCTACTACATAATTCTTAGCCGACTTTAAATTTTATTTCAAAGCTGCAAAGTTGATTGTCATTATCTTCTTTGTTAAATCAATTGTCTATCTTTTGCAGAGCATCATGGACGTGATTGACAGTGTACCATTACCACCACTACCAAAGTTGGAAAATAACTGTAAGGAACCGGCTGTTACTCCAAACCAGTCACTACACAAGCTTGAAGACTTCAATACCCTGATAACTAATATCATTAATCTGTGTGAAAAACATGTATTTGGACAAACTGCATCTGTACAGGGAATTTTAAATGTATGCTCTCGAATTTCCGGATGTGCAGGTTATGATCAATTTTGCAGACAAATCATCGGTCATTGTAATGAAATTTTATCACAAACATACGAAAATAGTCACAACGTAATCAATCTTTGTACAAAAATTTCAGCCTTTGATGTTAATTTTGATTTAATTAGCCCTGAACAGGAGGTTAATCAGCAGCAAGACTCACCAGCCAAAGAACCAGAGGTCACACCTACACCCAATGTTAAGATTGAACCTGATGATGATGATGTTTTGACCGAACCAGATATAAGTTGGCAGGATCAGGAATTGATTGGTCAAACAGACTCTGACTCTGAAGAGCATGTGAATGAAGACGATGACCCAGACTGGTCAATCACAAGGAAAAAATCAAGGAAAAGCGCTGAAAAGTCTGCTGGGAGCGATAAATCGAATTCCAAAATAGACAGTGGTCTTCCAAAACCTTCAACTAAAGAATATACAGTAAATATTCCCAAATCCACAAAGATCTCCCTTAAACAAGATCAAAAAATATACTCGTGCTCAGTTTGTTCAAAAAAGTTTTCAACATCTGCTGGACATAAGCAACACGAAGATGCTCATAAGAGTAATGGATCATTGCAATGTGATATCTGTAATCGCACATTTGGATCGTTTAACAGTTTGAAGCGTCATGGTCGTGTCCACACTGGAGAAAGACCCTATATCTGTGAGATATGTGGAAACTCTTACCCAGTGCTCAGTACCCTTAGGAGGCATATGCTTGTTCATACTGATGATACACCCTTTCATTGTCAGTTGTGTGAAATTAAATTTAAGAGTGCTAAAAGATTGAGAAAACATCAACAGGTTCACACGGGAGAGAAGAAGTACCAATGTGATACCTGTGGTGATCGGTTCGCATGGAGCTGCTCTTTGAAAAAGCATGTCATGACTGCTCATTCCAATGAAAGTCCATTTCAGTGTGACATTTGCCATAAGAAATTTAAAATGTTACGATATCTCAAAAAGCACGCATTGGTGCACAAGGATGAATATAAGTTTCAATGTAAAGTGTGTGGAAAGCAAACGCATCAGAAAAGCAATTTAGACACGCACATGCGAACACATAATGGAGAAAAACCTTACGTATGTGATAAATGTGGGAAAAGATTCACCCATAATGTTACCAGAAAACAGCACATGGAGTCATGTTTTACACAGAGAAATGACTTTGAAGCCTCAGTATCATCTCTTACATCAAATTCTCTTGCTATGAATGCCAATTTTTTGAGTGGCTTACCAACATCTGGCACAATGACAAAGAATTTGCTCCATTAATATCATAATTATAAAATCTGTTATCAACATGTAAAACTGTTTCCACCTATAGGACTGATTTATACACTTTGAAATCTTCATTAGCAATTTTAATTGATTTGTATTAAATTACAAGAATACAAGACAACATTCTCTTTCATCAAGGAACACAAATTAGTCATCACAGAGTACTCCCAGGGCAGTTGCGGCACCATAAGTATGGGGGGAGCGGGCTAGAACAATACGGTCATTAGTCTTAGGTTGTTGTCTGCTTTGGAAGGGGTCAGGAAGAAAAGGACCCCTTACCTTGAAAACAAATTTTTTTTTCAGGGATTTCAACCCTTTGCTGAATGGAAATGTTAAAGTTAATGACCAGGTTACAGTGGCCAAAAATCACCAATTCAGGCACATTCCATGTTTGATTTTCTTAAGCCTATCAGACAGAATGGGTATCGGGGATGGAGAGTCCAAAAAGATTTCACCCTTTAAGAAAAAAAATTGGCTGACCAAAACAAACCATAGACAGTTTGGCACAATATTTACAAAAAACAATAAATTTGTATGAATTAAAATTAACTTTCAAGTAGTACTGGCACTGAGATTGGCTTTGGGCTGATGAAAGTGCCAATTATGATTTTACAGTCACAAATGTTCAGTAGGAATTGCTCTGTTTCACAGGAAATTTTCAGGAGGGAAGTATAATTATTTTAAATGTAAAATGTCCAAACCTCATATTTCTAGAGACCCGAAGACAAATGGTCCGATTTGACGTGTGTCCAAAATCGTTCGACAACCGGAAATTCGTACGGCAATCTGAAGTTACTGAAAATAAAAATACTTTGTAAATAAGTTGCTTGAAAAGTGTTGCAAACAAAATGCCAACAATAATGAAAGAATGTTATAGTTTTACATATTTTCAGTGATTGGTCTTGAGTTGATAGACTTGGGCTTAATTCTTTTATTTGTTATGTTTCAGTTTTTTGTAGTCTGAAACTGGTACCAGTTTGTTACTGCCATAATAGGCCTACTGGATGGCTCCTCGTCTTATCAAAGATGGAAATGGTTGAAGAAGCTTCCATTTCATCACAACATAAAGTATCAGTATCGTATTCTGACAGTGACAGTGATCTTGGCACCTTTACTTTACAAGACGAGTCAATATCACAGGTTGAAACTGAAAGAATAGCCGCTTCATATAGATTACCTCCCTTGCTTTGGAAAACTTCAGAAAGGAATGCCAGTGACAAATATCATGACATAATCCAAATTTGTGATAAACATATTTACGAACAATCAAAAACTGTTCAAAATATTTTGAAAATTTGTTCCAAATTGACAGAGTGGCCAGGATGTGATAATTACTGTAGCAGAATCGTAACTTTGTGTGAGCAACTTTTGTCAGAAACATACACCAGTTCGAATTTGATTATAACCATTTGTTATGGGATAACAAATTTGAATGTTACACCATCAAAAATTCGGAAGAACACACAGACTCAGTCTGAATCCTTACGCACAAGTACTGAAATTCCATTTTCAACTGGCCCAGCTGTTTCTATCAAGGTAGAATCAGATGATATTGAAAATGAAATAGCTGAAGATAATGATTTTAATTCTGGAAATTCAGTTGATGTTACTCATACTGATTCTGACTCAGATATGGACGTCATGGGAACAGAATTTGAATCTAAACCAATCAATGTGAAAAATGGCCTATACATAAATAGTACAACATGTACTGGTAATCAGAATAACAGGAGCTTGAAAACAAGTGATTTTGTCAGCTTTGATGATTTGAATGTTGATGGTCTAAGTGATGAAGTAAAAGAACCAAAATGCCAGTCAGATTCTGATTGTGATTGGGAACCAGGATCAGAGACAACTAAAAAGCCAATAAAGAGCACAGTAATAGCCCCAAATAATTCTAAAAAAATTAAGAAAGAGAAAAAGAATGCAGAGGACGATGAACAAGTAGAATTTGCCTGCAAATTGTGTCACAGAAAATGTAAATCTGAGAAAAGTATCAAAAAACATTATGAAACTATCCATACGCCAAGTTACAAAGAAAGAAAGAAAATTTCATGTGATATTTGTAATTTAAGTTATGCAAGTAAGACAGGACTTTCAGCACACAAGGCCAGTGTCCACTCGACCATGCGTCCACATAAATGTAATGTATGTTCTTACACTGCTGTAAGTTTGTACAGGTTGAGAAAACACCAAGTGATTCATTCATCAATTCGTAAATTTCAATGTGAGATATGTGGTGCATCTTTTAAACTCCATGATGCATTATTTCGTCATAGAGGCACACATAAAGAAGTCTGTGACTATTTCTGTCAGTTTTGTCCGAAAGGATTTAATGCCAAACACAAGCTGCAAAAACATGAAAAAACTCATTCTGAAGTATATGAATATCAATGTAAAATTTGTGGGAAGGAAATGAGGCAGTTAGGAAATTTAAAAACTCACATGAGAACTCATACAGGAGATAAACCATATACATGTGAACGCTGTGGACAATGCTTTGCACACAATGTGACAAAGAAAAAACATATGATAACTTGTTTTGTGACAAAACCGGAGACTAATACATGATTCTTTTATTTACACAATTTTTAATTTTACTAGGGTACTGATATAGTGATAGTTGATGAGCAAATTGACCAAAAGAAAAGACACTATCTTTTTCCCACTGGAGATTGAAAAATTGTGTGTGATATATGTGGCTCCAAATTTACAACCAAATACCAATTAAAATATCATAAAATCAATGTACATCAGGTGAAAAAAACCATCTCCTTGTGGTAATTGCACTTATAGGCTAATGCTAAAAGGACAGAATTATTGAGAAAGCATGAAAATCTCATGTCAAAAATTATCTGTGCACTGATCAGGCCCGTAACCGGCCCAATGTGTCAAGGGGGTGGTGGCATTTGGATGGGGTGCAATTGCTGATAGAGGCTGATTTCAGCTGCAGTTAAGAATTTGTTTGAATTTTACAGGGGGGGTGCGAGGAAGAATAAGCACACCCTGCCTAACCCCACAATACTTTTTGTAGCTGGTATTTTATATTACATCCATATAGAATTGACTAGTAAGATAAGGTATACTGACGAAATTGCAGTACATGTAGCAATAATATTTTTCTTGTTTATTATTTATATTTTATTAGTTAGGCAATATATCTGCAGGCATCAGATAAAATTCCCCCCTCACATTCTTTCATATCACTTGTGCTTTAAGAGATACAACAGGTCGAAAGAAAGTCAAAACTTACTAATATTTTACAACTATTACCAATGGCAATGGTCGATCTTGTATGAATGATAGCTTTTATGTTTGGACCGTCTGACATGCGGTCGATTTGACGCATAACATTCTTACCGGAAGAGATTAAACTCACAAAATGCAACAAAACCAAAACTAAAGGCAGGAGAGGTAAGATTTCTTAAATACTAATTCTAACCAAAAGCATACTTTCGAGATACTCTGAAGTCGGTAGCTAAGACAATGATGTGGCTTTTTGCAGGAAATTTAGCAGATGTAAACATATGACGTAGCAATTATCGTTTGTACCGATCGATGCTTGCTATATTAACTATGTACAAATACAAATGAGGCAGTAATGCCAGTGTAAAATCGGCTAAACAGTCTAAGGCTAATGTTCGAGAAAGTCAACTGGTAGGATACACAATGAAGAGAAACAGTCAATTTGGCCCAAACATTAGGCCTAATGGCCCCAAATTTAGTCGAAAGTCTCCAAAACGACCCCAGAAATGTCTAAATGGCACCATTATTGGTGATTTTCCAGCTGATAGATTTCAATTTCTCATTAATGCAATTAATTAGAGAGGCATGTACCCTGGAAATGGGTAAACTCTTACACATATGATTGATTCCATCACAAAGAGAAAATTGTGTTGAACTAGAAAATGTCTTAATTGATATAAAAAAAAAAAACCCACTTCACTGCTGTTTGGTATTAAAATCACAGAGAGAAACTTTTTAAAATCATATATTTAACAAACTTTTTTTTTACCCTTGAATTGTTTTGGGAAATGTGTAATAATTGCTTATTGTACCTTTTCAGGCGAGTTCCTTATTCTACATTGTTATTAATATCAAGCTATGAATTGAATTTGGTAACAGAAGATATGGAAGAAAGTATACCAACTGCATCATTTAGAACCGTCATACAAACTTCCACAGATCTGACCATAGATTCACCTGCAAAGACATCAGGTTTCTATACAACTAGTGTTAATTTAAACTCTGAATCATCATTTGCTGAATTACCTCCCTTACTACCCGTTAAGGAACATGTACCAACATCTAGAAATCTTTCAGATATCATTAAGATTTGTGAGAAAAATGTTTTTGATCAACAAAATACTGTACAGAGTATATTGAATGTTTGCTCTGAAATTACTGGTTTTGCTGGCTGTGCCAAATATTGTAATCAGATTATTACATTTTGTAATAGAATCATATCAGAGACGTGCAAAAATAGTCACTCAATTATTGATATTTGTCATGGTTTGTCTGAAGTGAAACTGACAACCTCAAAATCTCATTTTGAGGAAAATTCAGGGTCAGATCCGAATGTTGCAAAAATTGGAGGTCAAGATTCCTCCCGTTTATCAGATGTACTGAAAGAAGGGAAGTGTGTTAATGAAGATACTGTTGATTGTTTGGATTCCATTGATTCTGATGGTAAATTAAACCAAGAGGAGGATCCAGACTGGACAGCCCACTGGGCAAAGAAAGTCAAAATAACTTTGAAGAGAAAGGGGACAAAAGTTTCAAAGGTATCAGATGAATTTGAAGATGATGAAGCTAGTTTTGATGAACCTCAGTTTTCAGATTGGGAACCATGTTATGACTCTGAGCCTGAGGTGAAGAAAAAGTCAAAGAAAAAGAAAACAAAAGGAAAGTCCTCAAGACGGAAGAAGGAATCCAAATCAAAAGTGAAAGACGATTCTGAACAAGGAGAGTTTCCCTGCACTCTTTGCAAAAAAATATGCAAAACTAAAGATGCGCATTCAAAACATGAAGCTTTACATAAATGTGATGTCTGTGGACTGATAATGTTGTCACCTGGAACAATCTATGATCACAAACGTAGCTATCACAGTGGAGAAAAACCATTTGTATGTGACATTTGTGGATCTTCTTTTTCCACAAACCCAATTCTTAAAAAACATAAAATTAACATTCACACAGAAGGGCGTCCTTTTCCCTGTGATCAATGTCAATATGGTGCAAAAAGTTTGGAGTTGCTGAGACGACATAAGCTTGTTCACTCAGGAGAAAAGAAATTCCAGTGTGATGACTGTGGTGCCTGTTTTCCAAGAGCAGCTACTTTAAAGGAGCATGTCCTCATTCATAAAGATATCTGGCCTCACCATTGTCAGTTCTGTCCAAAAAGATTCAAGAACATCAGACAATTGCGACGGCATGAAGAGGTTCATTTGGATCAATACAAATATCAGTGTAAGGTTTGTGGGAAGCGAATGCGTCAAGTTGGGAATCTAAACACACACATGCGGACACATAATGGAGAGAAACCTTATGCCTGTGATAAATGTGGTAAAAGATTTGCCCATAATGTGACAAGAAAACAGCACATGGAGTCATGTTTTGGAAATATGGATATGTTACCTTCAACTCAGAACTTGTTACCTCTGCCTTTACCAATTGGACTCCAATTTCCTAGTAGTGCAATAGATTGCACTGGTCCTCCTCAGCACAGATTTTGAAGTTGATTTAGAAATTTTTTCGGGCAAAAGAGGTACTAATGATATATAAATTTTCATCGCCAGATGATAGTATTTTTATTCATATTTTAAATATCTGGCTATAAACTGAAAATAATCACTGCAATAAGATTAGCGTTACAGAGATTTTATATTAATGATAATCTCAAAAGTGACATGTTTCTGAAGATGATGCAGCTTATGAAAGCATTGCTACTTAGTACTTAGGGCAGACAATAATTAGAAAGTTGCAGTTATTATCTCAATATCTGGGTTGTTTTCAATGCAAATAAGATCTGTTATGTCACTTAATAATGGTACTATATGTTTCTGTAATCAAATCATTGGGAGCAAGGTTTGGACACGATGTAATCAAATTTGTGTTGATTTCGATATTAGATGGATTTTTTTGTTTATGTTAGTTGGTGATATTATTTATTGTTACATAGTTTTATATTTATTTCCACATGTTTTATATTATTTTCTATAAAGGTGGGTGAAGTGGAGGGAAATTATTTTGAAGGAAAAAATCAAATCAAATCATCATGCAGCTTGCTAAATATTCATTCAACTAGGTGATAGTAATTATAAAAGCCTGTTGTTCAGACAAAAAAAAAGAGATTTGTGTGTTATTCAATTTAGCTTCATTTTCTATGTAATAGTTAATCCATGTATTTGATATTAAGCAAAATTTCCATGGCCTTGACGACGTGGGCAGAAGGGGCAAAGCTCTTACTTACTGAGAGTCAAACGCTAGCTGTCAGTCAAATATCACGTGATTGAGAAATTGTTAATGAAATAAATTTAGCCAATGCTTTATGTTCTAAATGAATTTAATTGGATTTTATTTAATTTTTAAAGATTTTGTTAGTTTAATATCTGTTAATACACATTTCGAAATTCCATAGTGCTATCTTGTTCAGAATACAGTACAAATATAGTATTAACCTGTGTTGAAATCCCAATGTTGCTGACTTTGTTCCTCCTCATAATGTTCATTTAAATCAAGACAGATCACTGTTATTTGGTCTGTTCTTTTAAAAGCATTTTGTTTGTTAGTTGTAATAAATATTTATCTGTAACTTATTAAATAAGGTGTATCCTTTATCGCTATTCTAAATAACCCAGTAAATAATGCTTTGGATGATCCAGGCCAGGATTACTTACCACTCCAAAGTTCTACTGAAGCCCCAGTGGTATGAATAAAGGGAAGTATTAAAGAAAGAAAATATCCAATAGTCTCATTGTCTAAAGCTGTTATAATTATTGCTCCTTTGATGATTTGAATGCAACAAAGAACTAGGTGTCATAATAAACTGGAATTGGTCTTGCTATGGATACAATGGGATACAATTTAGTAAGTAAGAGAACAGATTTGAAAACTGGCAAATACTAAACATCATTTGATTACAAACTGTTAATTTTTATATATTTTAACAAAATATGCATTTCTTTTACTTCCAGTCCTGGTGGCTATGGACATTCCTTTAAGAGGTGTTGACCAATAACTCGTACCAATAATATCTGCAGATGAAAATGGTACTAGCAGCCAAAAAGACATGACATCAGTATCAGTAAACAAAATCAACTTTGGACTTGCAGGCTGTAATTGACATAGTTATTTATGTGTATAAAACACATTTGTATTTCTGTAGATACAAAGATAAAAACAAGGTTTGAATAAGTTGATATTTAATTTTAAATCTGTCACTTATTTTACATCAAAGATTCCTGTTAATGCACCATGACATTGATTCGTCCATTGCAATGACTTTGGTGTTGCTTACGAGTAACATTATGGGCAAATGCCATACCACATATTTCACATATGTAAGGCTTTTCCCCATTGTGAGTTCGCATATGAGTTCTGAGATTTCCTGATTGTCTCATGCGTTTGCCACAAACAGGACACTGAAATTTGTATTCATCAGTATGAGTTTCTTCGTGTCTCTTCAAATGCACCTTGTTCTTGAATTTTTTGGGACAAAGGTCACATGGAAAGGGCCATTCATCAGTATGAATTATAAGATGCTTTTTCAAACATCCACTTCTTGAAAATCGTGCTCCACAATTGTCACACTGGTATTTCTTTTCATTGGTATGGCAGATCATGTGTCTCTTTAGAATCTTCACAGTTCTACATTTATATTCACAAAATTCACAGTGTATAGGGCGCTCATCAGAGTGTGATAGCAAGTGACTGTTCAACGAACTGATCTGAGCATATGCATTACCACACACATCGCATACAAAAGGTTTTTCTCCAGTGTGAGTTCGCATATGATTTTTAAAATGACTTGGGGTGGGACACAAAACACCACAAATCTCACAAGTCGTTTTAAAACCATTTTTATGATGTTCCTGATGTTTTTGAAATCCTTTATAATTTACAAATATCCTTGGACATTCTGGACATTGGTATTCACCCTTTCCTATTTTACTGATTGATTTTCTGTTGCATTTTACTCTTATCTTTAGAGTAGGGACATCCTTTTTTGAACTCTTAACAGATTTCTTTCCGTTATCAGATGTTTTTACATCCAGTTCCCTCAAATCACCACTCTCATCTATTGACCAATCTGGGTCACTGTCCTTCTTAAAGCCTTCTTCACAATCTGAATGCTCAAGATATTCAGAATCAGATTTCTCAAAATCTTCGAAATCATCTTCATGATCCTCTGTTATATCTTCAACCTTCTCTGTTTCTTTTTCTGAATTTTTCTGATTATTTCGAGGATTTAGATCAAGATTGGAGATATTTTTACAAATATCAATAATCTCATGGCTATTTTGGTAAGTATCTGACAGAATTTGTTGACATACGCTTATTATTTGTTTGCAAAAGGGTTCGAAACCTGGAAAGCTTGTTATTTGTGAACAAATATTCAAAATAATTTGTATATAAGAACTTTGATCAAAAACCTGCTTTTCACAAATGTTGATTATGCTTTTGACTTTACTATCAGATGGTGTGTCTTTTGGCTCTTCTTTAATGAATGGTAACAACTGTCTCCGTTGCATCGGGTATGGAGTTGAAACTTTACCGATGGGAAGAGGAGGAAGATCTCTTGGACTCATTTGGGTTACAGAAGAAGAAATATCCATCTGACTCACAGTGGATTTCTGAAAACTGCCAGCAGTTGAGCTTACTGATGATGAAGAGGGTGATTTATCATTGAAATTGCTTTGATTTTGTACTTCATTTGACATGCCAACTTCACATTTCAGCACAGAGTTGCTCTTCGGACTAAGTGGTTGCAATCTGAGGGGTGATTGAAAGTCATTTTGACTGCATGATGACTGAATTGATGAAGATGGATTAACTGATGTTGGTAGATAAGGATAATCCATTCTGATATGTAAATATTGCTGTTTTAGGTTGTTAACCAATATTTACCTCCATCAATGGTTGAACCTGAAATAGTATAAACAAAATTCTGATAACATGATTAAGCATGAAAAATACCCCATTAAAAAAAGATGGGTCTGCCTATTATTAGTCTATGAAATGGTCTCATAATTGAAATAATAAATATGTAGATCATAACATACCATACACAATTAATATTGTATTCTATTCTAGTGTATAAATTACAGTACACATGGATGTCAATGTTATTTAAGATTATAAACATATAGTAGGACAATTATGGATTAAAAGACACACCCTGATCAGATATTCGGACTAATAACACCCAACGCGAATTTACACTTTCGAATGCAATGCTAAACAGTGTAGATTTATCAGTGTGAAATCCAATACTAACCTTTCTACATGAATTGCAGTTTAACTGATTATTTAAGTAAACAACAAATAGTAACATAGAAATGTCTTAAAAGAAGACATTCCTTAATACAGTTTACTAGTATTGAATTTTTCAGCCAGACGAGGTCAATATAGAAGGACTAATCCGTAACCAGTTGAAATGTATCATGTTAGTCCGAATTATTCTGATCTTGCATCATCTGTACATTTTTATTCAAATGTCTGTTAGAGAAGTTAGTTATTTGCAAATAGCCTGGAATATTGAATAACAACAGTCTAGAATGGGTAGCATGCATAAGGTACCTTAGTAGGTCATACAAGTCTCGACTGAATAATGTAGGCCTTCATTCATTTAGACAGTAGCTTGAAATAAAGGGAAATAATTTTTACTTTCTTTACATTTATTACATGTACATAGATAACAAACACATCAAGATATAAAGGTACAAAGAAAGATATTGCCAATAAGTTTGAATACATTGATATCATGAGTTGCAGTGAGAGTAATCCTTGCTGCCCAGTATAGAGAGCCCTCAATAATATTCAAAAAAAACCTAGCAAAACCAATTTTTCTGGCAAATTTTTTCCCATTGTGCAATAATCAGAAAATGTTTTAAATTCTCTTTTTGCAATTCACAATGTGATATTTGAAAACAAGAGCAATTTTTCTAAAACATCTTCTACATATTATACCTTTATATTATCTTCCCTTCACATTCCCATCATTCACATGGTAATGGAGTGGCTCAGAAGCTAGTGAAATGGAATGTTCTGCTTAACAAAACCAAGCCATGGGTTCAAGGCAAAAAACAAAACAAAAAAACAAATTTCTGCTGACATGGCCAGTACTTTTTCTCCTTATTCCCTTACCATATTGATATGTTATAAGTAATAAATATTCGTACAAGCCAGACAATTCCATTAATAAAAATCTCGTTCAAAGTATGGCAGAATTTAGAATGATAGTTTTACATCAACTAATATGTTACAAGATCACACCCTATGGTATAAGTACTTCCACACCATGTACCCTACGACACTGCTCTTGATGCTGTTTTTTAGTAACATTGTGTGCAAAACCTTGACCACATTTTTCACACTTATAGGGTTTTTCTCCATTGTGGGTTCTCATATGAGTCTTTAGATTTCCAGACTGTCTCATACGTTTGCCACAAAATGGACACTGAAATTTGTATTGATCTGTATGAGTCTCTTCATGTCGTTTCAAATGCATTTTGTCTTTGAATCTTTTAGGGCAATTTCCACAAGCAAATGGATATGTGTCCTTATGAACTATTAGATGTTTCTTTAAATCACTATTGCGTAAAAATCGAGCTCCACAATTATCACATTGAAACCTACGCTCTGTGGTATGTCTTACCATATGCATGCGTAACCTTTTAACTGTTTTACAGCGATAGTCACAAAGCTCACACTGAATCTTCTTGACATCAGTATGTACATGCTGGTGATCCTTCATAGAACTAACATCAGCAAATCCACTTCCACAGACATCACAAATAAAAGGTTTTTCTCCTGTATGTACCATCATGTGTCTCTTCAGATGAGGTTTAGTGCAAACCAAATTACATAATTCACAAGTTACCTTCTTATGGCATTCAAGGTGATTCTGAAATCCTTTCAGAGTTGGGAAAATTCGTGGACATTGATAACATTTAAATTCTCCTCTAATTGGCGGTGGCCTTTTCCTAACAGGTTTTTCATCCTTTTTACTAGATTTTGATTGCATCTCTTGATCAAGTTCTGTAAGCCAGTCTGTATCATCTTCAGATATCTTCCTTTTCTTTCGCAGTCCTCGGTCACCTTCAGATAAGCTTACATCAGCATTAACCTGTGATATAGCAGAACTGTTCTTCTTTTCCCAATAAGCTGTCCACTCTGGATCATCAACTTGATTCAATTCAACCTCTGAATCAGATAAAAGAGGAGATTCAACCAAATGCACATCTTCTACTTCTTTCTTTATTTTTACTTGAACTAAAGGTTTACTTTTACCCATGATTTTCTTTTTCTTTCGTGTTTTCTTTTTTGGTACTTTCACTTTACTTGTTGTTTCTTGGTTCATCTCAATTTTTGCTTGCCATTTAGAGAGTCTTTTACAAAGTTCAATAATATTTTGACTATTTCTATATGCATCTGACAATATTTGACTACAAACATCCATGATGTCATTTCCATGCTTTTCACACCCCTCTATAGGCATTATTTGAGAGCAAATATTCAAAATAATCTGTATGGATGATGTTTGTCCAGAAACATGTCTGTCACAAGAAGCAATAATTTCTGAAATTATTTTTTCAGAGTTTAAAATTGGTTTAGGTATCTTCACTTCAGAGGAAATTTTATTTTTCTGTGTCCTAGAAATCTTTTTTGATTTATAAGTTGCTTTTGAGTTAGTGGGTTTAGTCGTCATCTCTTCCTCAGACATCAAATCAGTATCAATGCAGTACTCATTAGTAGCTGGTTTGACATTTTTATTGGCAGTTAATGCTTCTACTAAAGAACTATAAAAGACTTTGTGAGGACCATTGGAAATGTCTTTTGTTCTACAACCATTGAGAGAAATGTTGGTTTCAGCTAATGGTAGACTGCTAGAAACTATTGATGGACTGCTAGAAACTAATGGTGTACAGTCAGAAACTGATGGTGTGCTGTCAGAAACTAATGGTGGATTGCTAGAAACTGATGGTGGACTTCTAGAAACTAATGGATTACTTTCAGAAACTAAACATGTTCTGCTAGAAACTAATGATGGACTGTCAAAAACAAATGATGTGCTGTCAGAAACTATTAGTGGACTGCTAGAAACTAATGGTTGACTTTCAGGAACTAATGGTTGACTTTCAGAAACTAATGGTGGACTTATAGAAACTGATGGTGGATTGTCAGAAACTGACCATGTTCTGCTTAAAACTAATGGTGGACTGCTAGAAACTGATTGTGTGCTGTCTTGAGGTGGATTGGTTGAAACTAAAGGTGGTTGACTGCAACTGTTTTTTTCCAGGCTGACCATTGAGGTCTGGCTTGTTAGGTTTTTTCCAATCAAATCATCAGACATTTTGGCAGGTTGTTCCTTTGGTTGAAGTCCAACAATTTGTTGAATGTCGCTTTCAGAGCCATTCATTTCCAGGCTGACTTTTTAATCTACAAAATACAACAATTATATTAGATTGCATGTGATTTGAGTTTTAATCATACAGTAAGTTTAATCGTGGACATACCCAGTAGAATTAATAGTATTGATAAGTATTAGTTGTTGAAAGCCAACTCTTGGCCGATTCTCATAATCAACGGTAGGCCTACTGGCATCGGAATTTTTATCACCTAGTGGTTTTGAACCTACTGCACCTAATCACCTTCGGCTTCGCAGACAACTACAATGGCAATCAACCTCACTACCATAGCCGCTTGTATTGATAGAATTGCCCATTAGTATTCACTTTCATTTCAAATGTAAAATCCTCTTTTCTATGGTCGCAAAATAGGCAAATAAAGATAATAATCACTTCATATGGTCAACAAAAAGAAATTGGGTAATACAGTTGAAATGAAATGAATAGAATATTCGGATTACGGGATTTTGACTCCAATGCTGTCAACAGCAAACAGGACCGTTACATCGAACAAAATATATCATAAACATATTATTCAGTCAGATTTCATGGTCAGATCACCATTATTCTGACCAAAATACTACAAAGTGGAAAAAATTGATATTTATTTGTGTGCAAAAGTACCTTTCAAGACATTTTGTCAGACGGAATTTATATCTCTAATCTACATGTCCAGTACGTAACCAATGAAAGTGGTTAGACTTATACGCGCAAGTTATCCCATAATTACGAAATAAATATGTATATGGTCAGATCATATTTATAAATAAGCTAAATAGCACCTATTTAAGAAAAAGGTGAATAAATTGATTATGTACAGGATATGTTGCAACATTTCATCCCTTTTATTTTGATGGTTGATAACCTACCATAATTCATTGAAATTATATGATAAAAAACATTCATGATGGAATTTGCTCAAGGCATACTAGAGCTTGTCGCAATATTAAGCATTAATATATCAGGATATTAAGCATTAATATATCACAATAAGGGAATGGGAATATATCTCAATATGGGTATATATCACGATAGTATTTTTTTTTTAATTGTGTTCGAAACAAACAGTTTTTTTTTTCAATCTAAAATTTTTAATGTAAAAAACAATATCAAAAAGGGAATTTTCAAATATTAAGTAAAATCAATTACTGGTATATTAAATAATGTAGATTCTCCTATCTAAATAAAAATTGATTGTAATACCAGTATATCACCCAGCCACAATTCAATTCTAAAATCAATTCCCCGAAAATAGTTCCTAATGGTACTTAAGGGAATCATGATGCATAGTTAGGCGAAGTATCCCACTTCTCCAGAATACCTGGTGATTATCTCCAAGTGGTTTTGTCAACTTGATATTGTTTATAAATTTATTATCAGCAAAGGCACTATTCAATAAACATAATACTTATAAGAGTAATAATAGTAATTTGTAAACTAAAAAAGTTCAAATACAAAGATATCATAACTTAGGACAGAAATCTTGGACAGGTAAGTAACATGTCCCAGACGTATCCTAGTTTCAAACAAAATGGACACTTATCTAATGATAAATGGATAAATGATTAAGGTTTCATTTTTCTGTAACATTTTGGACAAAGCAAGTTTTTCGGTGAAGTTTTTTTGTGACATTATGTGCAAATCCTTTGTAACACCTGTCACATTTATAAGGTTTTTCACCAGTATGAGTTCTCATGTGAGTTTTCAAATTAATGGCCTGAATGAATTTTTTTTTACAAACATTACAAGTGTATGCATATTCTTCTTTATGGATTTTTTCATGTCTGGCTAATGTAACTTTCCTTTTATATTTGTTGGGACAATATTGACACGAATAAAGTAACTGTTTTGAATGAACTATTAAATGCTTTTTAACAGCTTCCAGTCGACAAAACTGTTCCCCACACATTTCACACTGAAAATTTCTTTCTGAACTGTGGATATTCATATGATTTCTTAAACTTTTTGTACATTTTGCCCGAAAATCACAATGCGGACACTTTTCGGGACGGTCAATCTTATGGGTTAGCATATGATCCTTCAAACATTTCATGTTTTTTCCACAAATTTGGCATAATCCACCTCTCTTCTTTGGCTTCTTACATTCCTTTGCCTCCATTGGCCTCTTAGCAGTTCCGCTGGATTCAAAGTGTTCATCAGGCTCCCAATCAGGATCTTTAGTAGACAAGTTTTCATCGATAGCTTCAGATTCACTTTCCTCTAATTCTGATGTATCATTTTCATTATCTGATAACCTTTGTAAATTATCAAAATATCCCCCTGTATCTTTCTGTAGTTCATCATCAACATACCTTTTTATATAGTTTTCTACAGCAAAATATTCATTGAAATTTAATGCATTTATCTGTTTAGTACCATTATCTATAAGCACACTTTCAATTTGATTTTCCTCTTCCATTTCATTCCCCATTTGGTCAGCATCTCTATAAATATTTTCTCTCTCTATTTGGCCAGCATCTTCATTTTCACTCTTAAATTGCCAAGCATCATCATTTCCACTCTCTATTTGGTCAGCATCTTCATTTTCCCACTTTATTTGGTCAGCTTCATCTTTTACACTCTTTATTTGACCCACATCATCATCTACTCCCTCCATTTGGCCAGCATCTTCATTTTCACTCTCTATTTGGTCAGCATATTCATCTTTATTTTTTATTTGGCCATCACCTTCATTTACACTCCCTATTTCCTCCTCTTCATTTGCACTCCCTATTTCCTCCTCTTCTTCTTCAATTACACTCCCTATTTCCTCCTCTTCCTCTTCATTTACACTCCCTATTTCCTCCTCTTCCTCTTCATTTACACTCCCTATTTCCTCCTCTTCCTCTTCATTTACACTCCCTATTTCCTCCTCTTCTTCTTCATTTACACTCCCTATTTCCTCCTCTTCCTCTTCATTTACACTCCCTATTTCCTCCTCTTCCTCTTCATTTACACTCCCTATTCCCTCCTCTTCATTGTCCTCTTTTATTTTTTTATCAAAGATAGAAAGTTCTACCTGGTTCTTCTCCTTCACATTTTCATCAGCCATTGGAATATCTACTTCATTTTCTAAATCTTCAGGTTCTATCTTTATATTTCCAGACTTTGAAATGCTGTTTTCAGTGTCACTATTTGTCTGTACAGTTTGTAATTTTGCACATTGATCAACTATTGCATTCATGTCATTGAAACTTTGAGACAAAACATGTTTACATTTTGATCTTATTTTGCTAGCAAATTTTTCACATTCAGGTATTTCAGTAATTTCACAAACAATGTTCATTAGGATTTGCACGTGTACACTTTGATCAAAAACATGTTTTTCACAAATATTCACAAGGTTGAACAAAATTGTAACCATTGAAGTTTTTGCAAAATTTGCCTTTTTAGTAGATGCAAGCAAGTTGTTCCGAAAAGTTTCATTTTCTGGTGACAATGTATAGTGTTTCTTGAACTCAGCAAACTCATTAGGATCATCAGGATTCATTACAAGCATTTTCCTATGTAGGCCTTTTAAATTTGACTCTGGTAATCCATGTCCTTTCAATAAACTTATGCTGTAATCTGAAGGTTTGATGTTACCCTGAATAGGTCTATCATTCATAATTGGATAACCAACAGGATAAGGTTTAGTGATGTTATATGTGTTTGATAGATTGACCCAGCTGTCATTCTCATTTAAGCTGCTTTGATTATTCACAGGATTAAAATTTGGTGCTGTAGATATGCTTTTCAAATGATTGTTAGCAACAGATTTAGAACTGGATAATATCATAATTTCCTGATTTTCAATTGAGCTGGTAGCTGTCATTTTGTTGGTATCATTTACAGAAGAGTAAGCTTTCATCATCATTGAAGCTTTTTCTATGGTCATGTCTACATTTGTCTGGTTGCTTGAAGGGTTCAAAAATATATATTTTACAGGTTTTGGTAAAACAGGTTTGCTTTCAGCAGGATTCATATTATATACAGCTTCTGTTCTGGAATTCATTGCAAAGTCAACTGGAGGACTGTTAACTTCTGGAAGCTGATCACTGTGTATCTTTGCACTTATCATTTACTAGTTGGATTATTGTCTGTTGGTGAATCTGTGAATCTTTTACAGAATGGGTGATGTAAGAAGACCATGACTTGACTCTTCATACCACTTTGAGTAAGTCATAAGCAATGCTGGTATACCTCATTTATCTAAATATGGTGTCTTTTCCAGGTGTAAACATTTACTGTAAACATAACCTGAGTGTGTAACCTGAAAAATTAATACATATATTACAAAATATATGTACATAGTGGAAGATTGTAAACCTATATCATTATAGTGTAATAATGTTTTATATTTTTTAATGTTATGTTTGGGATTAAGTGTAAAAAAAGGCCAAATTGTAAGCCTTATGAAGAATTCATTATTATTCCAAACACATATACAATATATATGAGCAATGAAAATAAATGAAATTGAGTTTCTTGGTGGATTCGGAGGCAGTGACTGTCACCTGAATTTCATGTGGTATTGAAGTTGTAAAACTAATGAACTCTTGAATCAAGTTTAACACATAGGCTACATGAGGAGGATATCAAATGGGGCAAATAGGCCTATTTTAAGTGCCATTCGAATAAAAAGGAACACGAAATTACTTTAGATAAATTCAACGATATAGTGTCCTACTAGTACAACAATTGAAATTTATGACATAAAAAAGATTTATTTCAGTGCAGGTAATAATTTTATGTAACGGTGAAACAAGACAGTTTGGACCAAAGATAATTCGGGCTAAGGCCACTCTGACCATATTTGAAACAATTCGGACCAATATTGAAAGTCAAGTAGGACTCGGATATACCGGTGGATTTTTTTAAAAAGCTCCGCATCAGCTATCCACGAAACACCTAAACTTTCCAAATCTGGATACAGTCTACAGTTTTACGAAAACGTACAGGCGCATATTTGGTACAAATATTAGTTTCCTCAACCTCATCGATAATACCAGCTTGTGATAACATTAAAAGTTTAAAAAGAACTTACTCATTGTGTTCTCTATTAAATATGCATTCTCCGTTTGGCACCGTTTTATCAAGAAGGGACTTGACTAAAGGGAAGAAAATAGGAGGTGTTTCTATAACATAGGTTGGGTGGTTACGCTTTATCGTTGAATACATTTCAAACTCAATAATCCCGTCTACTTAAATGGGTCATTCGTTATTTTGTACATTATATCTTTCGAACACGCGCTTTTCATAAATTTTGACACGCTTCGAATTCTTGAGTTTACATTTATAAAATTTCACACTGAAGTGCAAGATTGATCTCAATATCTTTTGCAAATGGACCCTCTATTCCTTAAATTGCATATACTGGACATACGAGACTATTGGCCATAGCTCCGATAATTTTACTAAATTATAATGAAAATTACTGCAAGTCTTGCTAATTCACCAAAATAACTGCGTACCCTGCTTTAATTGATGATATTTCATAATGTTTTTAAAAAGGTAGGCTAATTGTCTTTGTGGTTAAAGCTTGCATCAGGACTGATCGGGTATATTTACAATATTAAAGGCTGTGTCCCAGTTTTTAATCCTACGGAGCTGGGGAAAGAAATATGGCGACTGAACAACAATGGCTACCACGGAAGCTAATTATTGGATCTCCTTGGCCTATATCAGTTCGAATAAAATTAGGTTCTTCATAAGTATCAAAACTGGTTTTGTAGATCGACCTTGGAAATCGATAAGAGTATGACGCTCTCCCGGCATTTTCTTCATTTAGTTATGGCGTTACCATGCCTCATTAACTTATTTATGTATAGAAAATATATCGTAAATTAATTTATAATTTCAGCTAATGGTACATTATTAAGAGCTCACAACGATTATTTAAAGAATAAGTACGTATGGAATATTCAGAGTTACCTGCACTTCCTTCAGCCCAAAGCAGCCAAGAGACGACTCCACAATGGCATGTTCCTTCATCTGAGTGTATGCAGCAGCAACACCCAATTCCTGATTATGGAATGCCGCCCTCTAGACCAACATTTCCACCCATTGACCTTCAAAGTTTTAGTCACCAGTCCGGATTTGTGGTTCCGACATTTTCTCGGGATCCAATCAGCCACTCACCATTGTTGTCTCTTCAGATTCCCACTCAATCGTCTGCAAGTGAACTTATTTCTCATGACGATGCTGCCAATCCCAAAGTACGCCAGTCAGATAATAGACATTTATCACTTTTAAAAAATGACCCACAATCCAAACCATTTTCAGACGACCAATCTGCGTCTTTAAATAGAGATGTGAAGGTTACTGTTACTTGCAGTAAGGAGCATGAACATCCAGAGGTATCTATATTAAGTAATTCATCTCCTAGCGCACTAACGGAATCTGATATTCGTCAAAACCCACGAAAAGCCACAACATCCAAGAAAATATTAGTTGGTTTTAACATTAATGACGGAAATCGATCACTTTCACCAAATAGCGTCTGTGGATCAAAGAGTAACCCATCTGACAAACCCGCAACAACCACAAAAGAAATATGTAATTATGATAAGTTGAACTGTAGCAGTAAGTCAATTGTAGGAGAGAATGCACACAAGATGAAGGAAACAACCGTAACTGAGACCAACCCAGATAACAAAGCAATAATAGGCTACTGGTGCCCAAGGAGCCCCTCTACCGAGAAGCCAAACAGAAGCAAACACGAATCGAGCAAGATACAAGACGATACTAGTAATTTTATTATTAAAAGAAGACAAAGCACCAGCGAAACAACCATTGATGATGAACAAAATCTGAAAGATGGAAGGAAGTCCTCACCTCGCCTTTCTCCTTTGAACGACAATAATCAGTTTGAGATACCGCCATTACCAGCACTGAAGATACGACCTTTCAAGAGAGGACCGTTCAAATCTGTCCTAACCACAGAGGAACCTGGTCAAACCTCAAAGCAGCCTTCTGAAATTACAAAAGAATCCCTTTCGACAGATTTTCTTCCTTTTGTCAAACAGGAACCAAAGGAAAGTCCAACGTCTGGAAGTAAAATTACAGAAATAATAAACATCTGTGAAAAGCACGTTTTTGGGCAGACATCGTCTATTCAAACTATATTAAATATCTGTTCTCAAGCGACTGGGTTTCCAGGATGCGATCGGTTCTGTAGTCAGATTATCACTATTTGCAACCAATTATTGTCAGAGACATACCAAAATAGCCACTCCATCATTGATCTGTGCAAAAACTTGACTCATTTGGATTTGACTGGCGGAAAAAATAAAAAAGATAGAGTACGTCAAGCTAAAGAGCCGACGAATACCTCTAAACAGACGACATACACTGAACCTGATTTTGAAGACGATGCATCAGACTTCGAAGAAAGGGAGGACACAAAAGATGAGGATTTTGACTGGAAAGATATACTCCAGAATTCCGATTCCGAAGATGGTTTGAACCAGGAGGATGATCCAGACTGGTCAGCTTATTGGGAGAAAAAGCAGGAAACTCGAAGCCGAAGATCAGATGCCAAAACAAAGGAAACGAAACCAATAGAAACCAAAGTCAAGGAGACCAAACCAAAGCGTATTAAAATTAAAGCTCCAAAGTTAGAAGAAAAAATCAATGACCAAGAAGAAAATGTCGACGTAATCAAAGACGAAGACGAGGAGAAAGAAGAATCTGCTTTTGAAGAGTTTCTGTCAGAAAACGAAGAACTTGCTGAGCCAAAGAAAAAGAAAAAAAGGTCGAGAGGAAAGAGTAGCAAAGCTGAACCAAAGACGAAAACCAAGATCCCAAATGTTAAAGGAGAGTTCAAATGTTCAGAATGTTCTAAAACTTTTCTTACTCAACGTGGATACGCAAAGCATGAAAATCATCATCGAAATGGGTTTAGGATTACTTGTGAGGTTTGTGGAGTGGCTTGTCCTTCGCCAAGTCATTTCAAAAGTCACATGAGGACACATACTGGAGAGAAGCCTTATGTTTGTGAAGTGTGTGGCAACTCTTATGCTCAAATGAGCACGCTGAAGGGTCACATGCTTCTACACTCTGACGAGCGGCCGGCGCAATGTGAATACTGTGAGTATAACTGTAAAAGCGAGAAAAGACTGAGGAGACATATGATCGTTCACACTTCAGAAAAAAAATTTCAATGCGAAGATTGCGGAGCGCGATTCTTGCGAAGTGCTTCTCTAAAGAAACATCTTCAAATTCACAAAGATGTTTGGCCTTTTTTGTGCGAGCTTTGTCCTAAAAAATTCAAAAGTAAAGTTCATCTTCGGCGACATGAAGAAGTTCATAGGGACGAATATAAATATCAGTGCCCTGTTTGTGGAAAACGAATTCGACAAGCAGGGAATTTGAAAACTCACATGCGAACACATAACGGAGAAAAACCATATAAATGTGAATCGTGCGGTAAGGGTTTTGCTCACAATGTTACCAGAAAACAGCACCAAGAGCAATGTCGAGGAAACGTTGAGGTCCTTATTCAACCTCCAACTGAAAATGATTATACAAAATATAACTCTGCACTTTGCATGGTGGGTCTAAAATCACTTGCACATCTGTCCTAAAAAGACATTTCTTCCACTAATGCAATATTCGGCAACTATTTCAAGGAGAAATCCACATCGATTGAAGCACGCACATTCTTAATGAGACTTAGTGTTCTGCTATACAAACTTTTAGATTGGTAAATGTTTTTCATTTATTTATATCATCTCAGAAATATGAATAGCTGAAAAAGGGCTGGTTAACTGAGAAATAAGACGACTCCTTAAATATTGCTAACAGGTACTGTCTGAAACAAAAACAGAACTAAGGACAAAATCTTGATTATGGTGTAGGTATATTGTCAAGTGACGTACTTTTGTACATTGTGTTGAAACTTGCTTGAATTGGTTGCTATATAATGCTTTCTATGTGCATTTATTATAGTTGTTTATGATTATAATATATATATATACTTTTAGTTTTATTTATATGTTATTCAGCAATATGAGAACTATTTGTAAATTTTTGTTATTTGTAACAGTATTTATATAAAGTTTAAGAATCTATTACGCCTCATGATATTTATTTTTAAACGATCGGATTTCGAAACGTCAACTTCGTTACTGTTGCTGTGCAGAGGTTTGTAGGGTTAAATGCAATTGTCCATCATTTTAGAGAAGTAATTGTGGGCTCTGTCGAAATAATGTCAAATAATGCCATATTAAACAGTGGCAATGTCACAATGTTCACATCATACCCCGAGGAAGTTGGAGCTATGTTCACTTGACTGTACAATACTGGCGTGCTGCTTTAGCGTGCTTTTTCAGTTGTTATCAGAGTTTGCTCCCTTTAATGGTTTATTCATTAGACGTGTGACTTGATAACTATAATTTTTGGGTAACTGGGTGTGAGATTGTCGTATTTTTGGTCAAATTAGGGTTAGGGAAAAGTATAACCGACATCTTGATCTTGACCTCTTTAAGCTGGTAAACAAATAATGGACGACTATATCCCTTTTATTCTTCTACATCATGCATACTTTGCAATTTTCCAATAAATGTCTACCTTTGCGGAAAGGACAACATGTTCTTTAAGTTGATTAAATGTGTATTTTACATCTATTTTAAGCTTCTCATTCTCAATCTCATTACGATAACGGCCATTTTCTGTTATTTATGGCTGATGATTGAGTTCGTGTTCGTGTCACAGTGACACCTTTGATCAAGATTGGAAAAGCTCCGAAACTGTAGCCTACTGGTAATTATTATGCCCACATTCATGAAGATCTATACCGACAGACAACTCTGCCAAATCAAGAGGCGTGCAAAAGATCGGACAATGCCCTCCCTTCTCCCTCCCCTGAAAAAACGGATTGACCCCTTGAAAAATTCTAACAACCGAGTGAACCGACCAATTCCATCACTGCAACTAAACATGTACACCATTGCCCCTCAGGACATATTATTAGCCCCACCGAACAATCAAGTCTGGCCTGAAATATCGTAATTACCTTTAAGCTTAGGCCTACACTTCGTTGAGACAAAGGTAGTTTTTCTACGGTCATAATCGGAGGCAGGTAAAAGTCGAAAATTATCGGACTTAAGTTTTAATGATGACCTAATCAGAAACCCTTACCAAGCCTGCAACAATAGACCATTGACTGTTGTCAAAAATAATTAAAATTTAAGCGTTGTAATATATAATATGGATTTTTATATTAGCCCTATACAAGGATTCTACAAAGTTGCATAATCATGACACCAGGTAAGTTCACTTATGAATATTAATATACATTATAAATTTATATGCTGAACTATATAGGCCTATTGATTTTTAGTGATGGAAGGCACATCCCTAACCTTGCACTAAACTCTCTTTGTTACAGAAGAAAATTACGATAGATATTTTAACCTTATTGCATTATTCTTAGCTATTTATAGGCCTATTTGCAATAGCTAAAGCCTTGACATTTTTTTTTGTCATAGACATGGACCTTTAATTCTAGAAATATCTTTACAATGTGCATTACTATCAGCTTATACGTGAAATCAGATTCATTAAAGTCGCATGATAAATGATTTCTGTCACTTTGAACCTTTCCCGCCTTTTTTATCTCAAGGTCACGATGACCTTTGTATTAGTTTTCTCTTCCTTTTTATCTCCGCTGCTCGTTATTTTTTCTGTCAAAATTGGGTGTTGCCTTATACAATTCTTTACAAAAATAAAAGAGACGAAATATTCGAGAACATCATTGCTATAATCAATCATTTCAAATATTCAATTCGGAGACTCAACGAACCTTTCCATTTGGCGCGTTGACTCTGATTTGAATGTTATTTCCAATATCGGATACATGGCGTTATTTCTCATGAGGTATTGAGAAATGATGCAAAACTGTGGGGTGGGTGATCTTCTTATATACAGTTATTGTGATGTATTACTGTTATCATTCAGGCTTGGCAGTTACGCCTTCTAACACTAATAAACTCACGCAGCATAATAGATCCACTGATAGGCCTACTTGTGGAATCCACGAATACCTCTTCAAATGGCACCAGTTCAACAGTGTTGTATACTTTGTTCAAAAACGAATAATGCTAATGTAGCATATCATATATACCCATTCAACTCTAAGAAGTAACGTCCATTCCATAAAAGTTTAAAAAGCTTTCAATTAGTTTGTTTAAAATGGCAGCCATGCATAGCACAGATTAAATCTGTAAACATGGAATAACAAGTCTTATATCGATTATATATTGATAGGTTTCCCAGTTCATACATTTTCTGAAAACAAAGAGAGTCGAAATTCAATAAACTTGATGGTGCTTTCGCATGCTATGCTACTTTATTTTCTATTGTTGAGATTAAATCATCGTTTCGTTTTGTGAATAACGTTCCTACATTTTTATTGATCCATCCATAAACCGAAACGATGAATAATGAAGATAGAAGCTTGGTGGTTATTTATTTAAAATCAATGAAAATAACAATTTATTTGTCCTTTATTGAAATGGTTAAGAGAATGACACGGTGCTGACTGGGAACACAAATGTAGCAATAATTCTAGAATAAACAGAATCGGTGCGTCTTGGTTGAAAGTAGCCTACTTTAAAGGCGAACCTTCACTATTCGTTCGACCAATCATACCTTAGTTTCAGAAACAGGAATTGTTTTAGCCTACATAATCAGTAATAGTGTTCAGAGCTCATCATCGAAATTTGAGCTTTCAAATCCATGTGTATCCATAACTATTCACGTTTGTTAGTTAAAAATTGGACTCGAATTTTAGTGAGACTATATGCCATATATAGAAAACACATATATAGGAATAGACAGTGAAATTTCTACCTTGAGGTGCATTTGAAGGGATTATGCGATTTTCGTGCGTTTTAGTACTTCTTAAGAATATTAAAGCACATTCAAGACCCAAATCAATCCTCGAAAATGCCAACTTTTGCCCTTTAAATGCCCCTTTGTTATCATAATTGCCACTGGCACAAACATTCTAAATTCAGTTAGAAAGATTTTACTTTAATACACTTTATAATCTACAGACTATATACAATGTAGTAAAAGTACAAGCAGTGCTTCGTCAGTCTAATTCACTGATGGTCTTCGGAAACATTGAAGATTTTATTACACCGGGATCGTATCGAGAAGAAGCATAAGATGAATATATACATAATTAGGAACAAGCCTTATACTCCAATTCTTCCAAATGCCTTAAAATCCCTCCCATTCTCCAGTACTAAAGAATTTACAACCCATGTCTATCGAAAAAGTTATATTGCATTACAAAGTGTAAAATGACAAACCACAATCTATTTGTAGCTCGTCTAAAGGGTTAGAATTGACCTAAAATTGGGGATAATTTGATGGCCAATTTTCGTCAGTACATTAATCATCTCATTACTTTATCACAGCCAGAGACAAATTCTGACAGAAACAGGTCAATTTACAATTCTATGTACACCATGTTATCATCTTCATAATCTGAACTCTTATAGGTCCATCCCTTATTCTAGTTTCCTATGGAATGGTCCTGGTAAGCTCAATATCAAAGTAATACGAGAGTCGTAGCGAAAAAGTTTGGTAAACATGTGAAATATTGTTGAACCAAACTTTTCGGCAAGACCATTTTATTTTCAGAACTCTTTAGGGATTTCAGTGCGTATTTCTCATATTTCAAGACAACAATAAAATCCTGCTTCATAGGAGGCTCCTAAATCTTTTTAATTACATGTACAACAAAATTTCTCTCGGGATATACTGTGATACCTATTATGCTATTGAAGAAGATAATATCAATATCGGAAATAATTATATATTTTCTATTGTCCAGGCATACAATATGATCTATAACATAATAAGTGACTGGTCAAACGTGATAGACTTTCTCGTGAGAAAATTATAAAGGGGAAGCGGGAAATTTTATGCATGTCTGCTCAGTGGCGGAGCCAGGTTTACGTCAAAAGAGGGCGAAATATCTGAGATTGCCCGAATTTCTAATCTAATTTTAAGGGTTTTTCCCCAAAAAATTGCTTTCGGTGCCCCACTGTGTCTGCTTCGATATATATATTTCTGACATTCTGACAAGTTTGCAATATTACTTAGGTCAAAATAGGTCAAATCCTGTTGTTGCTTTATGAATTTCAATAATAACACAGACCCAAATATCTCTCTGAAACCACTTTTTTGTTCTTTGGATATTAGCCTATATGTGTATGTTAATTACTGTTTCAGGAACGATTGATTTATCTATTGCTATATTGACAACGAATTCTATTATACAACTGTAGCAGGACTTGTATATAGAAAATAAAAACCATCACCGAAATAAGTGTCTAAACACCTAAAAAAACAGAAAGCTTTCACATAGGTTGGAAGTTGACAAATATAACACACCAGCAAGTGACCATTTTAAAACATTGTAGAATCGATGAAGACTTGATAATAGTCATTATTCCCACTTTCTTATAGATTGACCATCTAAAAATATCTTTCTCCAATTACCCGAGTTTTATTCTATTTAAGAAAGACAAATGTTGTAAAATGTGGCTTCTGAAGTCAAACTGTAGTC